AGGGCCGCCCAGGGCTGCCAAGTGCTGGAGGCTAAGCCCCTCAGCAACAGCCCTCCTGAAGCTTCCAACAAGTGGCAATGTGGATCGTCTTTTTTTATGACTTGGACGCCCAATTCCCCTCCTCCCCCAAACAAAACGGCTTTCTTTTTGGTTTTCCTTCAAACCCGCAAAAAGAAGGGAGCCTCAAAAAGGGACACACCCACATGATCCAGTCGCCGGCTGGGACCTTGGTGGCTTGGACCTTGGTTCGGACTCTAGGTGCTTGGGAGGTTCGGGATTTGGCTGTGGGTCAAAGGTAGGTACCCGAAATGGAACCCGATTTCATGGAAGCCAGGACTAAAACCTGCGGTCCCCTAGTGGTTTAATTCCGACCCATACGCATTTGGTACCCTTCCCATGTTTCAGTAGGAGTTTGCGGGTCCCACTCCAAGCAATCCAAGGCTCAACTTGAGGAGAACCTGGGTTGAAGAACCAAGGTCCTGGGTCTATAATATGGAGACCCAAGGGTTCTCCACACCCCAAGAGGCTTTGGGCCTACACAACATTTTGAGCATCTGGGCCCTGAGCACAGCACCATTCAAAACCTAGTCCTACAGAGCCCGGTGGATTGGGGTCGACGGCTTGACTTGCGCTCGGGAGTCCACCGTATCTCCGGGAGTGTGCGGATCCCCGGGTCCAAAGTACGCTGATCACAGCGACGGGTAGCGACTCTGCTTTCGGAGCGTTCCATGCGGTGTCGCAGGCGCCTTTTCTGTTTGAACTGATGTTCTTCGCACTTTAGGTACTGAAAACCGTCCCATCGAGACATGCAGAAACCCTGGGGCCCAGCAACCCTTTGCTTGATTAGCAAGGAAACCCTTCCCACGCAAAAGGACGAACCCCGGTGGCATGGGGTTGTTCTTGCGTGCATGCACGAGCCCCCGCCTTTGCAGGGCAGGATCGCGAAGGAGTGCCGACACCTGCGATACAAACACCCTCACCAAAAGAATAGGATTTGCCACCGGTTTCCCTTTTTTGGTTTGGTTTGGACCACTCACCAGATACCCCCGAGTCAACATGGCCATAATAGCACGAGAATTGGACTCTCGAAAGGGCTTCAGGCTTAAGACCAACAACTGAACTCATTATTCTGTCGTGCCGCACCATATCTAGTCAACTAGCACTACGAAAAAAAGAACAGGCCCAGCTACTATCATTGCTGCCAAATCGCCCGCCAAAAGGATGCGAGCGCAGCTGGGTGCTCAAAGGCGCTTTGCTCTTGGTACTGGACCCGGGTGGTGTATTGGGCACGACGTGGGGAGTCTAGAAAAAAGGATTGCAAATAACAGTGATCGTGGACGGCGCGGACCAGGCAAAATATATGTTGCCATGGCCCCCGTTCAATTGCGTGCAAAGTGTTTCGAAAATGCTGCGCCCCAAGCTGCACTTGTCAGCAGCGATTGTGCACGGGTGGTCTGTGGCACTATTTCTTTCTGAGGCAGATTCCCCCAAAGACTCCAACTCCTGCACGAAGAGGTTGGCCTTCGTTCTGGACAGGTTGAAGCAGAAGGGTTGCGCTCACACAAGTTGTTTTGACGATCCAAGCTGACAATACAGCGCGGGAAGTTCAAAATGGCCATTTTCTTTGTTTCTGATGGTGTCCTTGTTTCATGCGAGCTCATTTCTTTGAGGAGTGGCCATTCCCGCGAGGACATTGACCAACTGTTGCCCCAATTGGCCCAGCACCTGCGCAAGGTCGTCGTCTTGATATCTGACACCAAGCCATTGCGCTCCTGGTCGTCTGCAGGCACAGCGGCTGCAGCTGCCCCGCAGCCAGCAGCGCAGAGCTGCGCTTGCGCAGGACCTGCGAATGAACGTTGCCAGTTACTACCCTCTCGTCCACGTTACCACGGAACCTGACGGCTTGGAAGACTATCTTGCCACTGGGAAATGAAATCACGGGGGAATGGAAACACATAAATCTACCAGCAACCCCCAACTGCTTCTGTCAAAGTTCCAAGTATCCAACAAGCCGCGTGCTACGGGTTGAAACACACATCTCATGCTGCAATGAATGGAAGGAACCGGGCACGCGTTTTCCGCCGGGGTTGCTCATTAATCGTCCTTTTCTGAAAGGAAGGATTCATAAACATGGGGCAGGTGCTCCTACAGAGTATTAACAACGGATGGGTGTCCTTCAAACCTCGCTTCTTGTGCCAGTGTTAGATTGGTTTGCGTTTGGTTGGGTGACTAGTGATATGATACTAGGTTTGACTGGGTGCTTTTGCACACACACACACACTGCATAACCTGCAGACTGTCTCATATTGTTTGCCCATTCAAAGTAGCACATTAATGTCAGGGAGTGATATACAACTTGAATTCCAACTTGGTGGTCCAATTTTGGAAGAGTCTCCCTTTGGCGGGGTCGATAAATACTCAAGGGCTAGCTCATGAAACATTCCGAGCTTCCGAAGCGGCACGGCTCTCTATTGCCTTGGAACTTCCGAAGACAAACCCTCCATTACTCCATCATTGAATCCCCTGACAGGGGGTTCCGGCAGAAATCTGCTAAAGGCTTGAGGAAACAAGCAAAGGTGGAACATGGTCCCACCAGTCACCGCCATCCAAAACTGGAACACACGTGTTGCAATTAAGTGAGTGCCCGTTCGTGACAAACAACCCAACAGTTGGGCCGGGCGGACGACCGGCATACATAGGGATTTAGCTTAACAGAATCCATGTTGAGCGGCCTCAATAAGTCTTTCGGCTGGAAAGTTGTTTCCTAAAACAAGCCTGTGCTTCTGTGCGCAAGCAGCGACATGCTGAGAAATCAGGCCAGAGCTAGCCCACTGCCGAAGTGGCTCAACGTGGGTGTGCCTTTTTCGCGGAACCTCTTTTGGTTGGCTTTGAAAGCCAAATCAAGGGGACTTCGAGGGGAAACAAAAGAGAAATCCGTCGGAAGCGCCTCAGCTTTTTCCCGCGGGGTGGGATTGCAGTCCGCGCAATTTGCGCTGCACCCGGTGAAACACAGGCATGCACGCTGGCTTGCTTGCCGCAAGCTTGCCCCGCTTGGCTGATTTTGACATTTCCGCACCTGGTGAGCGATATTTGCAAGCATTGCTGGCTGGTCCAAGCAATCTCTTATCATCATTTACCAGGCGATCTTCTCAAACAGCTCTTCTTTGCGACGAAAGAAAGTCATATTAGCACAATTACATCACGCGTGTGAAACAACACTTCGCGATCGAGTTGGACACTGAGCCTCCTCCGAACAAAGCACATTGTGGTTCCGTGACAGAAAGACCTACTTGTCTAGCTCCATCCGCTTCACAATTCATGAATTGAATCGGATGCTCATTTTCTCATGAAAGGATGAATCAGATTTCTAATTTTGCAGCTACAAGTTCAACACATCCCTCAAAAGAGCACGGAAACAAACCCCCTCAAAGATTCGAAAACGATTCTGAAACGACCACCAGACGGCTCCAGCAATGCCGCGGTCCCCGTTTCGGATCGCTCGCTCGGATTCGGCGTCGGGAGCTCGCTCGGTGAAACCTGGTCCTGGGTCGACGCGCTGCTCTAGACAGGTCTGTCTCAAAATAGGGTGACCCCCAAAATGGACAGTTATCCGGTTTCCTGTTAAAACCAGCCAAAAAAGGGGTACCCCCCGCCCCAAAAAAAACACATATTCCTTCCGCGGGCTTCCGCGCGGCTTCCGTGGCTGCGAGAGTAGCTTACGCACGTGGTGTTTACATAGCAAACGCGGATTAAGGAAGTGCGCGGAATTTAGTTTCCACATAATATGTCCGCTTACGCGAACACTGCGAAACCACTAAAAGTGGAGCCTTTAAACGTCTGAGAGGTTCCTCTGCGATTCGAAGCTTGCAACTTTTCAGCATAGAAGGTAGAACACGGACTGTGCTTTGGCAACATAACCTCGGAGTTTGCAACTGTTCAGTACAAGCGTAGCACGCGAAGTGCCCTGCGGCTCCAGCTCGCAAATCACACATCTTTTCCTTATGCTAAGTACCTGTTGGCAAGGTCCAAGAGTAACAGCTGGCTGAAGCTTGGCGGCCTTCGCGGAGTTCCACGGCTTTTCTTCCGCCCACTTCGAACGAGAATCAACACGCTAGGAATCTTGCAACATGGTTGGGCGCGTTTGTGCGCCTGCGTGTTGAGCTTAGAATACGCGGGCCTTTATTACTGCAAGCCCTTTAAATACATGAAGCTGCTCACATGAGACGCTTCGCAAACTGGACATGGTTCTGCATCAGGTTTGCCACAAGGGACTGCATGCCACACGTGGTGTCCGAGCCCTTGCTGGGGGAATGGTTCAAAGTAGAAACACAACAACTTAGTTTCGTAGAAGGCATCCAATGGGGCTACGCAAACCTTTTGCGGCCTTCCGCGCCCAAAAATAATATCCTTTCAAAACCATATTTCCTCACAAAAACTACGTAGTTGCAAACGTAGGCAAACTAGAACACTGCTCAAATGCCAAACACTTCCCTGAGTGCTAAATAGGTCTGGACAACTTGATGGGTTTGCAGGCAAAAACTAACAGCAATGGGCCATTTAGCACCCCCAGTTCCACGACCATGTTTAATCTGGTACACCAATCATCCGTCTAGGGAGGCAAACCCATCCGAATCGTCGGGACGCGAAGAACCAGCACCGAGTTTGGCTGAAACCAAGCAGAATCCAACAGACGGATCCCTGCCCGAATCTCTGGCGACAGCTTGGAAGTAAGCTCTTGCTGCACCAGAACTTTGTTCTAAGGCCTTCCCGAAATGAACACACCCACCACCCTAAGATGGTACTCGGGGTCACGTGAATGGCCCCTCCGGCACCCTCTGTGGGTGTGTGTGTGTGTGTCTTCCATGTTTATTTGGGTGCCATTTTGTTCCATGTTTTGACGACCAACCTCTATAGCAACTGAAACATCTGTGACTTGCTGGCCCCGTCCCAGTGTGTGTGTGTGTGTGTGGCCCCTTCCAACCCCCCAATTGTGCGCCTCATCATGCATCCGGATCCTCGTCCACATCGCCCTGAAGCAAAAACGCCGTCAACCCCTCAGCCCTCCGTTAGCACTGCTTAGTCAGTTAATCATCGATTCTGGCAGAATTCTTGGACACCAGCCACCACAGGGTCCCAACATGACAGTATATGTGGACTTATACGTCCAGCCTTTGATAAGGGGATGTCCAGTACTATAACCTACCCCTCAGGCAAATGGATAAGCCTCCCCGACTTGATCCCAGCTGAAGGGAACCTAGGCATGGCCTCTTGGCATGTCGTGTGTTATGTATGTATACATTGTCGTCCAGAGGCACGTTTTGCACTACCCAAGTCGTTGCTTCCCATCCCCAAGACGTGCTACGATGTCCTTTTGGGGATTCCTTGGCCACTCACAAATAGCTAAAAACAAAAACAATCTCCCGCACCGCGCTTAGCACCATTTTCCCAGGTTTCCTGCTTGAAACTGAATCACCAAACGCCAGCAATCTGCGATTCCAGTCCAAAACCTAAGGTATAGACTGAACCCGCAGTGTTTGATCTTCCAAAAAAAAACAAAGGTAGACTTGAACCCAACACATAGTTCTGATTCCTAAAAACAACTCCCCCCCTTCCCTTGCCCTGTCCCCCGCTTGAAAACCCCGATTTTCCAGCCCCCAATACCGGATCATCCGGTCATCCGTCGGCTCCGCCGGCCTTGTCGCTCTCGGCCTCGTCTTGGATGGGGTTCGGCTCCTCGTGCTCCTCCAAGTCTGCGGGCTCCTCCATGATGTCCTGCGGGGACACGAGGGATATGGGGAGGTCTCAGAATAGGGAAGCCCCCCTGTTGGATGGGGTTTTCCTGGCTGGGAAACCATCTACAGGAAACTGATCACTATTGTAGGGGTAAATTTTGATGGGTGTTCCTGGCTGGGAAACCATCTGGCTGGGAAACCATCTAAAGGAAACCAACCACTTGTAGGGGTCCCTTTTGGATGGGTTTTACTGGCTTGGAACTAATTGAAAGGAAAAGAACCACTTGTAGGGGTCCCTCATGTTGAGGAGCACCCGCCTTTGCGCCCAGCTCGCCAGGTCTCCGAGATTGTCCCAGCCACATCGTCTCGACACTCGAAGGCTTCCCCAGGGTAAAGGGGTGTCTTTCTTTTGGGGGTCTCCCCCCCAACGTGTACATATATATATATATAAAAACAATAAATAACTCAATGGTGGTTGTCCTTTTGTTGTCCTTTGAAACCCACAGGGGTTCCTCATTTGATGGACATTCGTCAACACTCTCAGGCTCAAAAGGGTGTCTTTCCATGTCTTAAGAGCAGACCCACAACAGCCTGGAGCGTATCTGGAAACAACACCAAACGGTGATAACTCACACCTGACATGAGAAATCTCTGGGTAACAAAGTAGTAAGGTCATTCACCTGGCCATGGGTCAAAAGCCAAATCGTACCCCCAGTGAACATCCCAATCCCCACTGAAATAGACTAAAATGGGTGGTGCACCTACCCCAAAATGGTACCATTGGTTTTGACCCACAGCCACCTCATTTTCCCCCCAGACCTCGCGATCATTTGCCAAGACCCTGCCTCTGGTGCTGTCATCAGCGGCAGCGTGCCCCGCAAAGGCAGGCCGCTCTCCTGGCCAAGGCATCCGGGAATCGGACGCCCTTTGGTGGACATTTACATGTGAGCGTATGCAAATACCAACCAAATAAAACAAATGCAGCCATCCTAACACCCCAGCTGGTGAACATTCATGCGGGGGCTGAAATGCACTTCGCGTGCTTTGCATACGATTTCCAGTCTTTCTCTTCGCTTCGCTCGGGCATCACAAAGCCATGCCTTCTCCGGGCCGACCAAAGTGCCGCACTTCATGCCGTAGCCGACCTGAATCGCAACGGCTTCAGACAAGCATCCCAGCAGATCTGAACGCACAGCACATCCAGGTACAAATAGGTCAGAAGGCCACCAGCTGATCTTAGAAGTCTCTTGCCTCCTTTTGCCGCTTTCTGCAATCAGAAACCCGGATTCTATCCACCCGCGCCAGCACAGCAAATTTGTGCAGGGCGCATAGAGGTTGGCGAAGCGGGTGCCTTTGACCACGGTGATGGCACCTGGATATCGAGCATGTGTCAGGGCCAAACTCGATCCCCTTTTATCTATACAGATTCTTATGGCAGGCACCGGAGAAAGTAAATCATCATAGATTTATCTACCGATTAAGTTATCATCATAGAAGCTAGATTTCACCGGCACTGTAATAGATTCTTCTTTTGCAATTGGCACCGGAGATGGAACTCCAAAGGCGTGGTGAGCCGCAACCCACAGGTTTCCACAAGCCCCGCGCGTAGAGTCGCTTAAAGTCCTTGGCTCGCGAAGTTTCGGAGCCCCGCCTGGCCAAATCATGGAGCGCAGCGCCGACACGCGCAGTGTCTTGGTGCCGTCCCCGGAGGCATAGACCTCAGCGTAAAACGCAGGCCCCAATGGCCACGGGTCAAAAGCCAAATCGTACCCCCACTGAACATCCCAATCCCAACTAAAATAGACTAAAATGGGTGGTGCACCTACCACAAAATGGTACCATTGGTTTTTGACCCACAGCCAAATGAGTATAGCAAAACCTGGATACAAACGTGTTGTCTTTGATTGGTTTAGACGGCTTTCCTGAAGGAATCTGCCTGGAAACCCAATGGACAACAACTGAACAAGGCGGTGTTTGCCATGTCCGTTCATGGGACGGTGGCTGCCACGCTCCAAGTACCCACGCTTTGTGGCTGAAATGAGACCCAGATCAAGGACTAACTCGGGGGTATATACTCTGTGGTTCCTGAGGGGAACCTGCACTAGGGTTGAGTTCGAAGGAAAACCACTGAAACATTGAAAGGCCCCATTTTGCAGTTCAACGTTCTTTGTTTGAGGAGACAACCCCCGACGGATTTGGTTGGATGAGGGACTCCCTCGTCGCCGTAGGTCTTGATGCTCCAAGCCGGGCCCGTCTCGGCATCCTCCGGCTTCAATTCCTGCGGGAACTGCGACACAACTCCCAGATCCCAGGCAAGGCCCGGTAGCAGGTAGCCAGCCCTTCTCCTCTTAGACTTGGAATGGTGGACCACCTCGATCCCTGCAGAGTGTCGTTTTTCAGAGTGGGTTTGGCCCCACTGCGCCGCTGTTAAAGGAACTGAGTGAATTTCCGAGTCCACACTTCTCGCGCAAAAGTGTCTCGCGAGCTTTATTCGGCAAGTTTGCCATGCAGTTTGCTGCGATTTGCTGCGCGAGATCTCCCGTACAACTTTTTGCGCGCTTTTCCTCGTGCACTACTTGCTGTGCATTTGCTCTTGTGCTATCTGTTTTGCATGTTGCTCTGGCGCTAGTTACTGGCTCTGCTTGTGCTCTCACGCTACTTGCTCTGCATGTGCTGCTGCGCTACCTCGCACTACTTGCTATGCATGTCCACTTGTGCATCTTGCTCTGCATGGACACTCGTGCTGCTTACTCTGCATGCGCGAATGCGAAAACTTGCTCTGCATGTCGTCGTGTATGTTGATACTCGTGTGCTGTGTGGTATTTGGCTGCGCGATAAAGCTGGCGATGTTCCCGGAACCCTGCGCAATGCTCTCGGGAAACATCGAACCCTGCCCCAATCAGATCAAGTTTTGCCAAGATCCAGCGGTGATCGGTTGCGGTATTCAAGCGTTACCGGGAATGTTGCCGGGCTTCCACATTATGGGGGGGCCATTGCTCTTCATGTTGAACGGTTTGCGATTTATGGATGCGACTGTTTGTCGGGGACCCCGCTTGTTGGTTGGGCTTTATAAACAGAAAACCCAAAGGAACTCCCACTATTGCGGTCCCATTTTAATCCATCGATCTCGAATGTCCACCAAAAAAAAGGTCTCCTTGAATGTCCCTGCCAAAGAAGAGCTGCGTGCAAAAATGACGGGCATATTTCCACTTATTTTATTCCAGGGCAGGAAGAATGATTGGACGTCCTTCCAGCGATATCACAGCCTATCGATCCATGTATCTGAATAGTCTGTTTGATAGGTAACCAGTAGAGTGTGGTTGAAGTACAAAAGCCGGAGTGTTTTGCAACCTTGTGTTGTTGTGCTCACCGACGACTTGCGTGGCTGCTCGGGCTCGGCGTGGCTTGCGTTGTTTTCCAGCCAAAACACGCAACTTTTCAGCACAACAGTAGTACGCAAAGTGCGCTCCTGCAGCTTCAGCTCGAAAATCGCAAGCGCTCAGTGCGAAAGTTGTGCGCTGCAGGGAGGCTTGCATCAGGATGCTGGCACCGAGTTGTTTGCATTGAACAACGCGTGCCAAAACTTGCACAGAGCAACTTGCGGAGAGATAGTTACACAGAGAGCTTGCCCAAAGAAGCCTGCACAAAGCAGATGCAGAGAAACACATCACAGGAAGCTTGCGAAAAGACACTTGCATCGAGAACTTGTGTAATTAGATAAGCTTGAGCACGCCAATTTGAACTGAGAACTTGCGCAGCGAAACTTGCACAAATAATTCGAACATATAAGCTTGAATGAACATGTTGCACAAACAAACTTGCAGAGTGAACTCACACCAATGCGGAAACGCATTGGACATCACAAGCCAAGCTCACGATTAACGTGTTACGAATGCTTTTAGGCCATGGTTCTAGTTTCACTACCCCAAAGACTTAAACCCATGGGTTGACTTCAGAAGGCCCGCTGGGTTTGAGTCTTTGGGTTGCGCTACGGCTCTCCGCTTCGGTTTTCGCCTCCAGGTCAGCCTCGATCCCCTCCAGTAGCGGCTTCTCGGGCTCATTCTCCGCCTGCGCCGAGATCTCTGCCGCCTGAAGCCGAGATCCGAAGCAGACATCGAGCGCCCGGTGAGGAAAACCGAAGATCGGTTTCAGCTGAGCCCAAAGGAAACCAACCCTGAGGGGTTCCCTCCAACTGGTGCTTTGGATCAGGTTGGAAACTTTTGCAGCTTCCCTCAAATCGGTTTGCACATTGGTGATTTGGAGATGTGTCTTGTAAATGATAAACCACGCCTGCCCTCCAATCACCAACTAAATAATTAAGGGTTTGTTGACCGTGGGGGTTCTTAACAAAGAAGTATCAAAAAACAAACGGCCGGTTTCAGATTGCTTTCCCACACTTGAACCCGCCCCCAAGAAAGGGGTACTCTCAACGACACCCAAGTGGGTCCCCCGCCGCTACAAAGGAGAGTGGGAAACGCAAATACCTAAGGTTGGCCGAATGGGCGTCAAGTTGCTCCTGGAATTTCAAGCTTTGGGCCCTGGTATCTTTCCAAACTTCATGTGTGGGGCTTGAGACTGAGAGATCCCTCGCTAGCCATCTTCCAGACCTTAACGGCTTTTTGAAGCTCGCATCTGGTCGACGTCAAAATGGCGCCCGAGCCAACAAAAAGCTACCCCGTTCACTATCATGGAAGATCTCAGATTTCGAGCCCTTCGGCTTGGCCATCAAACGAGGACAAAGGGATTTAGACATGACAGTAGAAACTCACTACAAAGTACCTGGAAGACCAATTTCCTCCAAAAAGTTACCACCTATGGTAGGATGGTAGGTGGGTGGAAGGCTCTTGAGCCCTTCCCCCCACCCACCCTCCCGGCGGTACTCGCCTTCTCCTCTGAGATCTTGCCCTCGAGGGCCTCCAAGTCCGGCCATCCACTCTTCCTCGGGATCTGTCTCTTTGGGGGGAACCCTCTCCTTTCTGGCCGAATTCCCCCCCCCCAAACAGTAAGAAAAAAAGAGTAATCAAGGCAAGAAAAAAAAGAGTAAGCACAATCAAGTGTTTTCAGCCATGGCTTGTAACTTATGACCCTTTTCGGTTGAGTTTGAAGGGAAAACCAACCAAGGACACCAACCATTTTGCATCCGGACAAGCCCCGATGGCCCCCCATGTGGTTCATCTTTTACGAGTAGACACCTTGCTTCACAGCTAGGGGAACCTCATGGATTAATGCAACCTAATGGGAACTATGGGAAACTTAAGGGAACCTCTGGGAAGTCTAGCGCAAACCTATCAATCGCGATCCCGAGCGGAGGCTCCCCGTGGAGAGCAGGAACGGAGCTGCATGCACCCAGCCACCCTGGGTCGCCAGCTCCTGGGGTCGGCTGAACCGCGGAGTTGGGGTCCCTTTTTGGAATCCGGATGTAGGGTTGGTGTTATTCATCCGGGGTTGAAACTTAGGGGACTTGAATCTGCCCAACCCGACTCAAGGCGGCAATTGCCAGCGCATTGCATGAATGTGTCCCCTACAAGAGGACTGCAGTAACGTAACCCGGACCACGAAGCCATGTTTACCACAGGAAGATGCGGCAAGAAGCCGCAGCAGCACCTGTCCACATTGCTGGGGTGGATTTTTTTTCAAAGAAACGCCGGCGTCAGGGTAAAGGATACATGCTGGACACCACCTTTTACAGCTCCTAAGGGATTCTACATGTACCAGGTCAATTTGTTAGGTGGGCGTTGGAGATCATGATCCCATTCCGTCTACCCTGCCGGATGCCTCCGGAAATGCCGCCTTTCGGCCAACAAGTTCGTTTCAACTTCTCAGGGGTTTTGACCCTACACACATTACTCCCGTGATCATGATGCTTCTCTTTGTAATAGTTTCCCACCCGATTCGACTATATGGGTGTGCTTTCATTTTTGAGGGTATCCCTGATGGCTGGTTTTCAAGGGAAACCAGCAGGATGTTGGTTTGCAAAGGAAACCAGCAGGAGGTTGCCTCGTTGCCACTTGGGGGGTGTCCGCTTCCGAAAAAGAAAAAAACATGCTATGTGCCAGCACTCAGCACTCCCCGTCCCGAGTACGGGCCCCGCGCCTCGGGAGCTGGGAAAGACTCAGAGGCACCCTCCACCACGCGCAGCGTGTTCTTCACCGCGGCCTCTTCGTCCACCTTTGGTTAAAAGGGAACGGGCAAAGGAATTCCGACTGCACAAAAACAGGCGGGTAAGGGAAAATGTAAAAAAGGCAAAAGGGAAACTTCGCGGCACCTTATGCTTGTATGTATGGAAGTATGTATGCATGTATGTATGCATGTACGTATGTATGTGTAGTATATAAACATGTATGTTTGTCTGTCTAGCTGTCCGTCTGTCTGTCTAGCTGTCTGTCTGTCTGTCTGTCTGCATGTGTGCATAGTATGCATGTATGTATGGTAATGTAATGCAATGCAATGTAATGTCATGTAATGTAAAATGTATGTATGTATGTATGTATGCATGCATGCATGTATGCATGTATGTATTGTATGCATGCATGGATGGATGTATGCATGTGTAGTATGTATGTATGTATGTATGTATGTCTGTCTGTCTGTCTGTCTGTCTGTCTGTCTGTCTGTCTGTCTGTCTGTCTGTCTGTCTGTCTCTGTCTGTCTGTCTGTCTGTCTGTCTGTCTGTCTGTGTCTGTCTGTCTGTCTGTCTGTCTGTCTGTCTGTCTGTCTGTCTGTCTGTCTGTCTGTCTGTCTGTCTGTGTCTGTCTGCCTGTCTGTCTGTGTCTGTCTGTCTGTCTGTCTGTCTCTGTCTGTCTGTCTGTCTGTCTGTCTGTCTGTCTGTCTGTCTGTCTGTATGTCTGTCTTTATGTGTGACTATGTATGCATGTATGTAGTGTAATGTAATGTAATGTAACGTAACGTAACGTAATGTCATGTCATGTCATGTCATGTATGTGTGTGTATGTATGTATGTATGTATGTATGTATGTATGTATGTATGTATGTATGTATGTATGTATGTATGTATGTATGTATGTATGTATGTATGTATGTATGTGTGTGTGTGTTGTATGTATGTATGTATGTATGTATGTATGTATGTATGTATGTATGTATGTATGTATGTATGTATGTATGCTTGCATGTATGTATGTATGTATGTATGTGCGTATGTATGTGTGTATGTGTGTATGTGTGTATGTGTGTATGTGTGTATGTGTGTATGTGTGTATGTGTGTACGGTGTTCTGCTATGGTATGACATGGTATGTTATGTAGGTAATGTACGTAGTGTATGCAATGTAATGTAATGTCATTGCATGCAATGTAATGCAATGCAATTGCAATGCAATTGCAATGGAATGCAATGGTATGTATGTATGTATGTCTGTCTGTCTGTCCGTCTGTCTGTCTGTATGTCATGCTGGTTTGCTTGCGTGCTTGCTTGCTTGCTTGTGTTTGTGTTTGTGTTTGTTGTGCTTGCTGTTTGGTCTCTTATGTTAACCAGGAACCCCACAACCCTTTTGGCTGTCCCCTTCTGGGCAAGGAAATAACCCCCCCATGTCATACATGTGAAAATGGGGGAAGGGTAAAGGCTACATGTTAGTTTTTAACACGAACCACACACATGCAACACAACAAACATCAAACATGCGGGAATGTGCTTTCCCGCCTATTCATTGATACCTATTGAGCCATCCAAGCTGAAGGCTAGACCAAGAGTGTTCCACCCAAACACTTAGATTAGAAACGTGATGCATCTCACAGTAGATAGTCTTTGAAACGGTGCCTGGTGGGCCCTTTCACAAATATGAAATGCCTGGTCTAGCCCCCCCCCCCCCCTCTGCCCGTCCCGCCCACATATACTAGGGATGGAGAACCCGTTTTAGGGGGAAACAGGCTGGTAAAAACCCAGTACTTGTGTTTTTCTTGCAGTTTGCTGCTTTTGGGCTGTGATGTGTCGAGTTGCAGTTGTGAGCACAGCTGGGGGAGGGGGGTGGGGGGGAGGATGTTACCGTCGTTATGAAAGGCTTGCACGCACACGAACACACACATGCCAGTGCACACAGGTTGATGCATGGTCAATGTTGGTTGCAGATGCTGGCAAAAAATGGAGAGCCAGCTATGTCCATCCCAGCAAACATGAGTTTGCTAGAAAGTGTGAAGAGCAGAGCTCGCAAACGACCCGCTTGCTTCATAGTGGGGGCTCAATGTAATGTGTAGAGAGAGCGTGGCAATCATTGCAAGTCTATATAACAACCCAGCTTCGCTCTTAGGTGTTTCGCTACACGCATAGCTTGTTTGGAGGCATCGAGAAGGATTTGGCTCAGCTTGTTGGTTCAGATTTTCGAGCAATTGAACTGCAACTATGCAAAACACTTATGCATAAAACTGTCCTAATTATCCCGTTCACTGCCAAGCATGAGCCAGAGATAACAAATTGCAGAACAGCCAGGGGAAAACACGTGTGATGCAGCTTTGGCTCCCATGTTGTTTAACAGCCTGTGACCTTTTAGGGCGGGAGCAGTCGTTTCGTTTTCGTAAGCCCAGGGTTCGGAAGGAGCCTTGAAGGCTCAGGAAGCTAGGAAGTTGGGTCCTAAGGTCTCTGAATAACTAGATGTGTTGATGTCTTTAACATGCACGTGTGTTTTACCAAACAAATGGAGATGTGTGTAGAATATTGGAATATGCAGACTTAGACACATGAAGCATGAGACGTCGGCGTGTCTTGTTAAGGGGGTCGGCGTGTCTTGTTAAGGGGGACCTCCTTTGAAATTTTGCGGCTATGAATATTTATAGGAAGACACCTCCCAGATGTGGTTGCACATGAATCCCCACCGCATTCCACCAAATGCGTTCCTTGGCCCAAGGGCTACAAAATCATGGAGGAAAAAGGCAACTGATGCTTCACAAGTCTGCATATATATATATATACACATACATACATATACAGAAATATATGCATGTGGTGTACCCTAAAATATGCCTTTTTGTGTATGTCACTCTTTTCAGGGCACCCTTCTTAAGCTGCAACCAATAGGAAAACCAGCCCATGACTCTCCGGCAAAAGCGTCTCGCGTCGCGCTTCGCCTCGTACCAGCCCCTGGGCGCGAGAGTACAGGTGGAGGAGATGCGGGCGATCTGGGCGCGCAGGAGCTGCTCCTCCCGGCCTCCAAAGCCATCGAAAGCGATCGAAGGCGGCCAGGAGAACCAGCAGAAAACCGATCCAAGACAAGTTCGGTTCGTTGCGTAATCAGAAAACAGAAAAAATGGTGTTTTTATACATGTTCTTGCGATTCCATTTGAACAATGTTCTTTTTGGGACCTATTGATGTTTAAATAGACATGGTTATAGAGGGTATCTGGACAATAACCTTTCTGAAACCAGGTAGTAGCATCACCTACTAACATGGCCAACTGGAATTGGTTTTGGGCGCTTCTCCTGACTGGAATTGTTTGACCGAACCTCATGCCGCATCTGCGCTAATTATTAATTTTCACCAACCAGATTTTCCCTAAGAAAGCTTCATGGCAAGTTGATGTGGAACCCCGAAAACACAATTCTCCGCGGGATCATTGCATGGGCATTTTTTTTCAGAATCAATTAAGGCTACCCCTCATTTGACGATATGGATTGCTGGTTTGGAAGTTAGGGGCTTTTAATACCCTCTCATCCAACAATATTTGATTTTACTAAAAATCCCCATGTGTTGTCTTGTTTTCCCATTTGGAAATGGACAGGGGGGTTCCCAAATCTGCTTCTGATGCACCTTACCTCTTGCCAGAGCGAGCATGCAACCTGAATCGAATGGATATCAAAGTTAAGGGAATACTACCATGTCCTTGCATATGCATAACTGGTTCCTCAGCTTCCGGAGGAAAAACAAAAAACAACGGAAAAAACACAAAAAATGCACCTTTGGATACCTCCAAGTCTCTGTCTCCTTTCCACCCGGCCCCCGGCCCAGCAGCCTGGGAACCAGGGAGTCGAGACCACGTCTTTGGAGAGCTCCCCGCTGAGCATGTGCTTGATGCTCCGGGCCTCGGCGAGGAAACCGCCCGAGCCAAACTCGGGACCCACGGGGAACCGCTCGCGGAAAACTGCGAGAAACCAAAGAGGAACGACCCGGAAAGGGGACCGCAAGGAACTGAAAAGGAGCCGAAGGAAGAGAAGGGGGCCAAAGGCAAAGCAACAAAAAGGAGCAAAGACAGCCCAAAAAGGTATGGGGAGCAGAGATGAAGAGAACTGGCAAAGCCTTTCCAGCACCCATGGGGCGGGCCGCTGGAAACCCAGTGAAATAGCCAATCAGTTGTCATTTTGGAAACCAAACCAGGATGTTGCTGTTTCTTTTTAATGCCAAGCCACCTGTTTGGCACCCAGAGGGGGCCACACAATTCATGTCAGTACTATAATCCGCCGACCCCGCCTAGGAGCGTGCTCTGGCGGGGCGGCGCCTGGGATACCGAAGGTCTCATCGAAGGGCCGCCGAAAGTCTCATCGCGTGCGTGCCTGCGCCTCTCGCTCCACCGTCGCTAGTCTTCGTAACGGGTTCCGAAACTGCGCGTCCGGCACCCTCCGCGCGCGCCTTTTCGCTCCATTTGTGGTACTTTTGGGCACGCCCTGCCACTGCGCTTGAACGTTTCGGGGGGCGCGGGGGGCGCGCCTCTGCGTGACTGCGGCCCGGCCGTGCCTGGGCTGGGCTTGGCCCTGTCGCCCCCGGGCCCCTCCTAGTCTTCGTGGGTTCCGAAACTGCCGTTCCGGCACCCTCCGCACACGCCTTTTCGCTCCATTTTTGGTACTTTTGGGCACGCCCTGCCACTGCGCTTGGGCGTTTCGGGGGGCGCGGGGGGCGCGGGGGGCGCGCCTCTGCGTGACTGCGGCCCGGCCGTGCCTGGGCTGGGTTTGGCCCTGTCGCTCCCGGGCCCCTCCTAGTCTTCGGGGGGCCCGTCGCTCCCGGGCCCCTCCTAGTCTTCCTAACGGGTTCCGAAACTGCCGTTCCGCCACCCTCCGCACACGCCTTTTCGCTCCATTTTTGGTACTTTTGGGCACGCCCTGCCACTGCGCTTGGGCGTTTTGGGGGGCGCGGGGGGCGCGCCTCTGCGTGACTGCGGCCCGGCCGTGCCTGGGCTGGGTTTGGCCCTGTCGCTCCCGGGCCCCTCCTAGTCTTCCTAACGGGTTCCGAAACTGCCGTTCCGCCACCCTCCGCACACGCCTTTTCGCTCCATTTTTGGTACTTTTGGGCACGCCCTGCCACTGCGCTGCGGCCCGGCCGTGCCTAGGCTGGGTTTGGCCCTGTCGCTCCCGGGCCCCTCCTAGTCTTCCCGGGTTCCGAAACTGCCGTTCCGGCACCCTCCGCACACGCCTTTTCGCTCCATTTTTGGTACTTTTGGGCACGCCCTGCCACTGCGCTTGGGCGTTTCGGGGGGCGCGGGGGGCGCGGGGGGCGCGCCTCTGCGTGACTGCGGCCCGGCCGTGCCTGGGCTGGGTTTGGCCCTGTCGCTCCCGGGCCCCTCCTAGTCTTCCTAACGGGTTCCGAAACTGCCGTTCCGCCACCCTCCGCACACGCCTTTTCGCTCCATTTTTGGTACTTTTGGGCACGCCCTGCCACTGCGCTTGGGCGTTTTGGGGGGCGCGGGGGGCGCGCCTCTGCGTGACTGCGGCCCGGCCGTGCCTGGGCTGGGTTTGGCCCTGTCGCTCCCGGGCCCCTCCTAGTCTTCCTAACGGGTTCCGAAACTGCCGTTCCGCCACCCTCCGCACACGCCTTTTCGCTCCATTTTTGGTACTTTTGGGCACGCCCTGCCACTGCGCTTGGGCGTTTTGGGGGGCGCGGGGGGCGCGCCTCTGCGTGACTGCGGCCCGGCCGTGCCTGGGCTGGGTTTGGCCCTGTCGCTCCCGGGCCCCTCCTAGTCTTCCTAACGGGTTCCGAAACTGCCGTTCCGGCACCCTCCGCACACGCCTTTTCGCTCCATTTTTTGCACTTTTGGGCACGCCCTGCCACTGCGCTTGGGCGTTTTGGGGGGCGCGGGGGGCGCGCCTCTGCGTGACTGCGGCCCGGCCGTGCCTGGGCTGGGTCTGGCCCTGTCGCTCCGGGCCCCTCCTAGTCTTCCTAACGGGTTCGGAAACTGCCGTTCCGGCACCCTCCGCACGCGCCTTTTCGCTCCATTTTTGGTACTTTTGGGCACGCCCTGCCACTGCGCTTGGACGTTTTGGGGGGCGCGGGGGGCGCGCCTCTGCGTGACTGCGGCCCGGCCGTGCCTGGGCTGGGTTTGGCCCTGTCGCTCCCGGGCCCCTCCTAGTCTTCCTAACGGGTTCCGAAACTGCCGTTCCGCCACCCTCCGCACACGCCTTTTCGCTCCATTTTTGGTACTTTTGGGCACGCCCTGCCACTGCGCTTGGGCGTTTTGGGGGGCGCGGGGGGCGCGCCTCTGCGTGACTGCGGCCCGGCCGTGCCTGGGCTGGGTTTGGCCCTGTCGCTCCCGGGCCCCTCCTAGTCTTCCTAACGGGTTCCGAAACTGCCGTTCCGGCACCCTCCGCACACGCCTTTTCGCTCCATTTTTGGTACTTTTGGGCACGCCCTGCCACTGCGCTTGGGCGTTTCGGGGGGCGCGGGGGGGCGCGGGGGGCACGCCTCTGCGTGACTGCGGCCCGGCCGTGCCTGGGCTGGGTTTGGCCCTGTCGCTCCCGGGCCCCTCCTAGTCTTCCTAACGGGTTCCGAAACTGCCGTTCCGCCACCCTCCGCACACGCCTTTTCGCTCCATTTTTGGTACTTTTGGGCACGCCCTGCCACTGCGCTTGGGCGTTTTGGGGGGCGCGGGGGGCGCGCCTCTGCGTGACTGCGGCCCGGCCGTGCCTGGGCTGGGTTTGGCCCTGTCGCTCCCGGGCCCCTCCTAGTCTTCCTAACGGGTTCCGAAACTGCCGTTCCGCCACCCTCCGCACACGCCTTTTCGCTCCATTTTTGGTACTTTTGGGCACGCCCTGCCACTGCGCTTGGGCGTTTTGGGGGGCGCGGGGGGCGCGCCTCTGCGTGACTGCGGCCCGGCCGTGCCTGGGCTGGGTTTGACCTGGTTGACTTCTTATGGAAGCTAATGACTTGACATGTTGACTCAAATTCTGCTTTCTCCGCCGGCGCCTCCTGGGTGCCTAGCGGGCCTTTTGCGTCGAGATGCTGTTGCAAGCCAGTCTTTGGACTGCGCTGTATGTGCAAAAACACGCCTCGCGAACCTGCCTGCGCAGGAACTGGTGGGCTTTTTTCTCTGCGCTCTATGCGATCCGACCCCCGCCATGGCGCGGGACGAGTGCCGCTGCAACACATGGACGCTAACTGCCCGCAAAAAAAAACAGGGTCGGCGGCACCCGGGCGTAGCCCGTTCTATATGAAAGTCAATGTGGGTGAATATTGCATACATGGAGTGTTTGGGGTGTTTTTTTCTCCACTTTGTTGCCCTTTGATGGCTTTTGGTATCATTGCGCTCCTTTACTGGAACCTACAACAAAAAGGGGGTTTTGGGCTCACCTGGGATGTTAAAGGCCGGGAGTTCACGCGTGACCCTAATGGGTTGTCCTCAAAATCCGGCTGAAAACGACTTTGGACCCATGATACGTGACTTACTTGGGGAGCCCACATTTGGCTGTGAGTCAAAACGCTTTATCCGTGATGAACATCAAAATAGGTGGTACATGGTGTTCATCCGCCCCAAAATGGAGGCATAGGTTATGACCCATGGCCATTTATGAATCCGGTTGAGGGACCTCTAGCAAAGGCGTGCCGCTGCAAACACAAAATTGCACGCACCAGCTCTCTCCGACGGCCGCCTGTTGGACAGTACTTGGAGTTTTGGTGGGTAGGAAAAAAACCATCAGAAGTCCAACAACCACGAGAAAACGCCCCAAGGCCCAAGCCAACTCTTTTCAAGCAGGAAACGGGCGTTTTTCTTTGTTTTGGGGGGAGGCCCTGGCCATGTCTTCGGTGGCTGAGCGTTCAGCCGAGCGGCGGCCTGGACGTGGCTGGCCCGGGCATGGGGCAGCCGCTTCCAGGGCTCGAAGCCACCGGAGGTGATCCAGTAGACGCAGCGGTTCGCGCCTTCCGTCTCCGAAAAAGACAAAACACAAAATACCACGAGATCGGATCCAGCGCCCGGTACTTGGGCCCAAACCGCTTTCTGTACAAATTGGAGGCGCCCGGTACTTGGGCGCAACCGCTTTTTGCTTTATATTGGAGTACTTTGGGAGTTGTTGGACATGGGAGAATGCAGTTATCTCTTCTTGGACAGTAAGGGGATTTGTTGGACATGGGAAAAAGCAGTTAATGCGTTTTGGACAGCAAGGGGATTTGTGCACATGGGAAAAAGCAGTTGATCCTGTTTGGACAGTAAGGGTTTTTGGACCGCAAGGGGATTTTTTGGACATGGGACAAAGCAGTTGATCCTTTTTGGACAGTAGCGGATTTGGACATGGAAAAAACAGTTGGGGCTTTTTTGGACAGTTGGGTTTTTAGAAAAGCAGTTGGGGGGTGTATGTACCTCCCAAAAAAGACACACAGCTCCATGGCTGTGTAAAATTGTTGGCTTCCCTTTGGAGAAAGGATTTCAAACAAAGCATGGGCTATTCAGCACCCAGGTGCTAAAAGGAACCCAGGAATCCAAACTGTAGGTCTATGTGGAAACACAAAACAACAACCCAAAGAAAAACTGCCATCCGACATGGTTGAAATCATCCGGGCAATGTCTGACTTTGAGGTACAGGTACCTTTGAAGTCCAGGTACATTTGCGAATGTTGCTTAAAGGGAACATAAAGGACTCAACCCTTAGGTCCATGGCACTGCTTAGGCTTACTCCATGTCCTCCAAATACATGGTCCCCGACCCTCAAACCACCCTGCCACAAATGATCGAAATTCAACCATCTTTAAAAGGAAGTTTGAGGGTTCAGGTACCCTCCCGAGACATATGGCGAAGTGCAAAGCTGCCACTTTTCGAAGACCACTCTCCGCTTGGCAAAAAGAGGGCTCTGTGCAATTCCTACTTTCAAAAATCCCGCTCCGCCGGGAATTCAGGCAAGGAACTCAAGAAGGGGTCCCATCCACAAAAGAGGTCCTCTCGATTTTCTTGGGAGTTCCATGATGAAACAGGTCCCCTGAATTTCCAGTCTCAATACACATGTGATGAGCGGTAATTGAATTGCTCTGAGCTTCTGGCTTGGATAACTATCTGGAACCAGTCAAACAGCCGGCCCAATTCAACCCGCCTCGGAACAAATGGGTTGAACATCAGTCTTCTCCTTACCCTTGTGAAAGTTGAGAGGATCAACTGCCTGCTCGAGTAGCCCGGTGATCAATGGGGCCCTTGGCTTTTTGGTCGTCCCTGCACTTTTAGCTCTCCACCACCTGATCTCCTGAATCCGACATTGAGAACGCCAAGGAAGGGCTACGGCGATCAAATCACCTGGCTTTGAAATGCAACTCTGTCATTCCCTGCCTAGATAGCCAAGTTGCTGCTTTCTTTGCAAACAAACAACCCCCCAAAACAGCTCACAGTTGATGGGAAAGAAAGACTTCGCAACTGGCGATTCGATGGGTGTCTAGGTTTTCAACCGAATTGCAAGGCACCCCTTAGCAGGCACGCGCAAATCCATGGATCCGCGCATTGGAAAGCCGAAAATGGCGCCGCGCCTTGGCCCCGGGGCTCCACGTCATCATCGGGGCTGCCGGGGAGCGCGGGAGGAGTGGCCAAAGCCGTCAGCTGCCCCTCCGCCACGTAGTAGTCTCCACAGGTGCCCAGCACCTGCCGGACGAAGGAAGCGGATGCGGAGGTTATGGCCGTTTCTACCTCCCAAAAAGGGGATAAGGCCACAATAAGGCCCTAGCCCGGAAAACCCCGAAGGTATATGGGATTGGCGGTTCATCGACCTAGATTCAAAGGGCTCATCCGCGTGCAGTGGATTCTGCGTTGAAAAGGTGCCTATACGCCACACATATACAATTCTTCAGGCGAGTTTGATCGAGGGTGCAGGTATGTCTTCACAGCGCCTTACCCCACATCCGCAGGGACTCGAGGCCCCTCGTCTCCGCCGCGAGCTTTCGCAAGGACATGGAGAGATGGTAGGACCTCACTCACAGCACATGGCAGCGGGCAGGCAGGAAATGAGTGCGTCGTTTTTTAGGGGGCCCCCCAAAATGATGGTTGTCTTTTTAGGTCCCCCTGAAATCTAACCAAGGAGAAGTTCCCTACAAAAAGACACAGCCAGATGGCTCTTAGCACTTTCACGGCCAGCTTCCAGAAGCCTCGACTTTTTGTTGACCACAAAAACCGGTCTGCCCAAAAGGTATAAAGTATTGTAAAGTGCAAACATTTGGCAAGCGAGATGGGAAGGGGTTCTTAGAAGGATGTTCATGTCGCTCCTGAAATTATAAGCCAAACTGGCTTAGTTTGTGTCTAGTCTGGGCCCCCTGCTCCTGCTTGCCGAAGCCGACGCCCGCCCACTCGAACATGGCGGCATCCTTGCGAGCGGGAACAGCCCTTTTCTCGCTGGGTGGAGACACAGTCTGCAGTTCCCCCCCCCCCCCAACTGGTGGGTGTTCTCCTTTTGGACTTGTCGCTAAGCTCCTTGTTTACCACTAAAATGGCATCCATTTTCAAAAAGGGCAACCCCGTTGAAGGTTCTCATACTTGTCCACCATAAAGGGTCCCCAATGCCAAATCATTGCCTACTTTTTGGCAGCTGAGATCGGTGGGATTCCGACTCACTCGCCGGCTTCCTCCAGGTAGTTCTGCACCAGCGCCAACACTGGCGGCGCGGCAGTCGGGTCACTGGGCGACCTGAGAGAATTTGAGAGCTGGAGGAGTGGGAGGGTGCCTGGGATTTGATTTGGCCTTGCTTTTTTTTCTTTTCTTTTTTCCTGAGTACTTATTTGTTGGGCTCCATTTAAAGAAGCCACAAGGAAAACCACACTTTTGGGGGTGCCCTAATTTTGAGACAGACACATTTGTGCTCTACAACAAAATGGAACCCCTTAACAGCGATTTCCAAAAATCAATGTTGAAAGGAAATGTCATTCATTGTGTGCCAGACATGCACACAATAAACAAATGCAAGTCCCAACAATATTCAAAATTGGCCCCTTTCATCCCCCTGTGCCATTCCCCTTTTTGCATACCTCCAGAAGTCTCGAAAGTTCACGGCCCCATGTTTATTCCCAACGCTCTCGCCTCTCGCCGCTCAAGCTCTCCCAAGCTCCCCTTGCCTCACCAGCTGCATGTAGCCCTTGGCGTACTTCTTTTGCTGCTCCTCTGCGGCCTTCTCCGCCAAGCTAAGCTCTGCCTCCTCGAAACGCACCGAGAGAAAACTCGGTTGCTTTCTGCTCCCCTGCTGAAAGTTTAACTGTTCGTGGTTGGCAAAAAGCTAAAGTCCTAACATCCAAGCAACATGCACCAAAGAACAAACTTAGAACAAAGCTCCCGAGAGTTCCGCAATCTCCTGAAAATGAACTCACTCACTCACTCACTCACTCACTCACTCACTCACTCACTCACTCACTCACTCACTCACTCACTCACTCACTCACTCACTCACTCACTCACTCACTCACTCACTCACTCACTCACTCACTCACTCACTCACTCACTCACTCACTCACTCACTCACTCACTCACTCACTCACTCACTCACTCACTCACTCACTCACTCAAGTTCGCACGGGGCCTCTGTGGGCTCAGCTGGTTTATTGGGGGGGAGGGGGGCTTTTGAATTGGTGCTCAAAAGGTGATGTCCAAAAGCCTTGCGGGTTTATATAGACAACCCACAGCCCAAACTGCAAACACTATCCCATCAAAACATTCATAGGCTGCTTGGGCATTAAGCTCTCTTCTCTTGGAAACCAAGCCCCAACCCTTCCTTAAAGTCCGTGAAACACGCCCGACTCTTGGGACCCGTGTTGTTATGGTGCTGTGGGTGAAAACCGCCCCCGCACATGACCCGTGCAAGCACCCTGTCTGCAAACGCGGGGATTTAAAAGAGTACTTCACTTCAAGGGGGATTGCCTTTTCACTCAAGTGGGACCAAAAAAAATGGGCCAGGCCTTGCTCAGAAAATCCTCAGACACACCCAAGTCTGGCCACTTGCAGAAGGCGACTGTTCCATACATTTACCAATATTCAAGGCAGCGCCGAATGATCTTCCCATAAAAAAAATATATCTATCTCTCTCTCTCTCTCTCTCGCTCTCTCTGTCTCTCTACGTCTCTTTCAACATCTCCAACTAGAAACATCTCCGCATCAAGAGGAAGTATTTTGTGGCTTGGTCATTGTTTCGAGGCTTCAAGCACTCCTATTTCAAACCGAGGCGGAAATCCGCCAATGATTGAACCTAAAACGGAACTCACTTAAACATTTGGCCAAGGCGGTCTAAAAACAGATTCAGCCCTAAACCCAGCCCTTGACATCCTAAGCAAAACTGCGTCGGACGCCTTGGACTGAGAACGCCCCTCCTCCGGTGCAGGCGATGCCCGGAACGAGGAATCCTCGCGTTATCAGATTCCGCCAGGGTGGGTCCCCACCTCCACCGGGTGTCACTTTGCTTGAGACTTAGACCTGCAAACAGTTTCGACGTTTTGGTGAAAAGAGCAAAGGGAAACTCAAAGGTGCAAAGCAAGAACAAAGGTTCGTTGAGTGTGGCAATGTGAACAAAACCATGTGATAGCTGCGGGGCTGAAAGCTTGCTTTGAAACTTGGCAATGGGGCAAAGGGAAGCCCGAGGAATGCGTTCAAACCAATGTTTTTATCCAATTTGACCCTACTGACAATGGACAACATGTTGCACCAGTTGGGACTGGTGGTTTATCAACCCGTATTCCCATCGAGTTTCATCCATCCTAACTGCTGCCTGGCGTGGAGTGTGTCCATTCACAAGATCACCAGTTGCTGTTTGGCTAGCCTATTGAAGGAAGCCAGGAATCCATCTCCCAACTTCTCCCCAGATTGAAGCGCCAACCAACGCCCCCCGAAACTGGGCGGAAATGTCCTTGTGGGGGGGGGGGGGAACTCCTTCCTGGGGGGGAGGAAAACTCCTTCTGGGGGAAACTCCTTTCTACAGTACATCCATTCTGGGGGGGCAACTCCTTTTGAACCCCCGCAAGTTCCATGGAATAGTGCGCAACGGAGAAGCTCCTTCAGCATTGAGGAACGGTCCCAACCGGGCTGCAACGTGAGCCACGGTCAAACCACGATAAGCTTCCCGCAATGGATGCCAGTGTCGACGGTCTAAGGGAGATCAAAATGGCAAATCAAATCTGGGTAGCGGCAAAATGGTTGGTTTCCTTTTAGTTTCCCTCGAAACCAACCCCAAAAGGCTTTGCTCAACTAACAGAAGCCCAAACCTGCCTGAGCCCACCATTCGGGGTAATTCCCCATTTACAAGGGTAGTTCTCGATGGGCAACCGTCCCCGATTTTCCATGTGAGCCATGGCCAAAATTGCTTGTTTCCCCACCTGTGGGATGGCTCGTCAGGTTGTAACCGACAAATGAATGGGATTCGGACACCCTTTTTGTTGGCATGGGAAACCAACAGGAACCCAACCATTTAGAGCAGGGTCTCTTTTTGTTTGAGGCTACCCCTCATAGTTTTAGGGACAAACCCAACATGAAGACCACCATTTTGGGGGGTCCACCAACAAAACACGTACCCATTTGAGGGACCTCGATCAGGTCCTTCAAACGCCGTGAGAGCGCCTCCACTTGCTCCAAGGCGTCCTCGGAATGAGGCGACCCTGAACCAGGCGCGGTACCCTTCAAAGGAAAACCTGAAAAATCCCAGAAGGACAATCCCTAAGAGATTTTGCCAAGGCTCGTCCAAACGATTGTGTGTGCTTGATTGCACCTGGAGCCTCAGACTACCGTTTTGAATGGGAAGTTAACGCGGGGGCAATATCACGTTGTTAGGGCAGTGTGAAGGTTCAGGCAACCATGTTGGCGTGGTTACAAAGGGAACCCCAAGGGAAACCACGATTTTTGCCATCCTCCATTTCAACTTTCACCCACGCCTTGCCTTGCAGCAAAACCAACATATGGAAAATCAACTCAAAAGGGACACATCACTGCAATGCAATGTTTCCACCGATTGCAATAACAACTTCCAAGATGGCAACATCAGTCACTGCAGCGCAATGTTTTACCCGAGTGAAAAGCCAACATTGAAGATGGCAACGTGAGTCACTGCATCTGTCTGCCAATGTTGACCCCCTGATTATTACCCCGCCAAATAGTAATCAGAAGGGTTTGAAGCTGCAAGAAGGACGCCTCTCTATGTGGCAACCAAGGGATAAGTCAAAAGCACGGGCCAATGCCGCGCTCTCTACAGGGTCAACATTCAAGGGGGGGCATGGGGTTCGCTTGTTGCAACTTTAAAGAACATGAGTCACCGCAATGTAATCCTTGATCCTAAACGGGATCCCTAGGTTTCCTAAAATATTACCCCTACCAGAGGCAACTCACCTTAAATGGGCCAAAAGGTGATGTTTGAACCAAAGCTATGAACAAGGAATCGACAATTGGGCCTGTCTTTTTTCGAGGCTACTCTTTTTGGAATGGTCTTGAAGGAAACCAACTGGGTCCTCCAGTAGAGAGGTTAGAATAAGGGAACCCTTTTTCTGTAGTCTATTTTAGTAGGGGAACCCTCCCCCAAAAAAGGGCAAAAGCACTACTGGGGGACCTGGCCAAATAGAAAGTAACCATTTGTTGGGGTCCCCCAAATGAAGACACGCATCGACCCCTGACTTCAGATTTCTTCCGACTCTTCCCCTTCAAACGCCCCATTTCCCCTTTGTTGGACCTCCAAAAGCTGGCAGTTGTGACTTCAGTGCAATCCACTGTTCACTACCAGCACCCCACAACCACTGCTTTTCGGACAGTTGGGATTTTGGACATGGGTAGATCAGTTGTTGGGGGGGGGTGCTGGTAGTCACTTCCAGCATGCAACTTCAAAAAAGGAAATCCAGTCACCCGCTCCTTGGGCTTCTCCTCTGCCAGTGTCCGCGCCAGCTGGACCTCGTCAATCCGCCACCGCGACAGGCGGAACATCGGGCGTTCCTTTTGAGGGTACCTTCCTGTATGATTGGCTTAGGGAAGCCAAAAGAAAACCACCCATTTCGGTATCATTTTGAGACAAAACCGTTCTAGGGGAACCCTTGATGGTCGGCGTCCCTTGAAACTGAATGAAAAAGGACACTGCCAAACACCAGAATGACAGTCCGACATCCGAAAAGCCCTTTTGTTTCTCTCGAAAGAGAATATCCAAATGGAGGCTTCCCCTCCAACAATCCCACACCCCGGTTGTGGTTCATTTGTTGCCCGCCCACCAACTATGTAACAGGAAACCCGCCCCGCCCTTTAGAGGAAAATACTCCAAACCTTTTTTGAACCGTTCGTCATTTGCAACAGGGGGGTGCGCGTTTTCTGCCCCCCCCCCCAAATTGTTTTGAGATCCGGGCGAGGTGGTTGTACAGGGAGCCATTGCCAGCGTCCACCTTCAGCAGCGCATGGACTCCTCAGTGCGGGAGGCTAAGGCTGCAAGTCTCTAAGCTTGCTCCACCCTCACTCGACAGCTCGTACTACCACATGCATCTGGGACTCGTTTTTGGTAGGTTACGAAGACCAACCCAAAGAAAAACCACCATTTGTTGGTGGTCCACAAAAAAAATCATACACATGCATCTGTGTGTGTGTGTGAGTGAACTTTTTGAAACCATCCGACGTTTCGCAGTTTCCATTTAGAGCTGACCGCAGTCCGGCTAAGCCCGCGCTCACTTTGCTTCGCCAGGCGGCTCTCTAGGGCGATGTCGCAAGTGCCCATCTTTGGGCGGCAGGTGCAAAAAATTGCGCGCTGTCGCCGGTTCTCTGGAGCCAAAAGCGCGCAGGTGAGAGCAATCAATCCAATCACCGGCTCCAATGAGCCAATGAGATTCCAATGTTTCTTGTGCACTTGAATGGTTGGTGTGCCATGGTATGCCTGTGTCAAAATAGGGGGACCCCTCAACACAAACCCAAAGAAAGCTTGCAACAAGCTGCCTCTTTGCACGCCCGCGACCCGCCCCGCCTGCCAAATCGAAGCATCCTCGCCAGTACAAACACATCTCTTGGTTGCCACTTTGAGATGAGTTTCCTCTTTGACCTCTTTTTTATTGACACGTTAGACACATCGGGAAAATTGGGAATACAAAGGAGGAACACGAGAAGATACAGGGTTCATTCATGCGACATCCTCTAAAGCAGCCTCCACCCGGTTTGAAGGGAACCCACCGGCTCCCAGAAGATCCCAGAAGCAACGAGAACTCCTCCAAATTGGAACAAAAGCAATGCAGGCAACGCCAAAAGTCCTCAAAACATCCAGTTGATCCTAAAACACCCGTCACAGTCCATGGGAATCAGCGGAACATCGGTCTGGCGACGGCAGTGAACCACCAGCCACGATTTGCCGGGCCTCCTTTTGCTCACCAAGAAACGTTGCAAGAACTCGAACCCCCCAAACAAAACCAACCAACCACCGGGCCCGAAACAATAAACCAACCAACATCCCAGCCAAACCAACGGTTTCTTCGGTCCTGCGCCTGGAACTCCAGCAGCACCGGTGGCCCATAGAGCAGCTCCGCGCTAAGACGCGCCAAGGGCACCTGGCAGCGAAGCGATGCCCCAGCGATCCACAGATGGGCATGTCGCCCACCAAAAAAAACACGCCCCTTGTCGGTCAAATTGGTGGATGATATTAAGGAACCTGTTCTGGGAGTTGCCCGACAGCTAGGTCCTGCAGAAGAGAGGTTAGAATAAGGGTACCCTTGTTTCTGTAGTCTATTTTAGTAGGGGAACCCTCCCCCAGAAAAGAAACGGTAAGGAGGCGCTACTGAAAAACCTAGACAGTGATTGGGTAGTTTACGCCACCTCAAGGAACCCGATCGGTCGGTGCTGCGCCTCCGCCAGGATCTCGATGCTGGGCATGGCTCCTCGGGACGCGACGGGAGAAGTCGTCTCGATGATTGGAACATCCCTTGAAAAAAAAAAATATATATCAGATTGGGTCTGAAATTTAGTCGGGGGCTTGGGTCCGAAATAACCATGGGTTCATGGATCCAATCAGCCCTTGCTGAAACCACTATCCACTAATAGCGGGCAACCTGAATGCTTCCCAAGTTAAGTTTTGCAACGAACCTCAGTTTTCCTCGTTGGTAAGTGGATATCTTCTTTTGAGGATGTCCAGCCTTAAACAAGAAGACATGCCCAAACGGTCATTCCCTGCTCGTTTCTTCCCTTGAGCCACTCGTTTGGGTCCCGACTCTCCTGGGGTCCAGTGGAGTGGCAGCAGCACCGCGGGCTTCGCCCAGCACAGCGCGGAGCCTTTTGGCGCCCACAGCAGCCGCAGCGCGAAGCTCCGCTGCAGCGGCTCTCGGACCTCAGGGAACCCGAGCCCGGGGACCTCCGTTGCTTTGCATGGCGATGGGTGCTGTGCTGCGCCTAAAGGGAACCATTGCACTTCACTAAGGGGAAAAAGGACCGGCCTTTTTGGGGGGGTCACCCATTTGGAGACAAATAATTTTGAGTACTGGGCTCTATGCTTGCATGGCCAAACCATTTCACGTTTGGTTGTGTTGGTGTGCGGAGGTGGTAATTATATACGAGTCTTGCCGACTCATATCTGGTGATGGTGGCGGGTTGCGTGATGCTGGGCGTAGTCGTTTTGTTTGAGGGGGGTGCTCTTGTTTCGTTGTTTCTCAAAACCAGATGCTGGGATGCAGTCCCGGGTATCTCGTTTAAGCGTTTTTGTTGGGGATTGCTCCCCTGGAGGTTCGCAGTCAGCAACCCTCCACGGTCAGGGGAATCTCCTTTTGAAGATTGGAGGCCCTTTTTGGGCTCCCCGTTTGTATTTTGAAAGGGAGTCCCCACCAATAACTACACAAAACGCCACCAAAGGCATGTCGCCTCTCAAATCTGGCTCCAAGTGCTCCATCTACTTCTCGGGGGGTGTGCTCCGCTGTTTTCAGGGTCCAACCCACGGGTGAGCCGCGAGCCTTGCCGGCCACCGCCGCCTCTGAGAGCGGCAGCCGCAAGACCTTCGCCTCGGTTGGTCCATATGGGGTGCCGGTTTTTTGGGTTGCTACCCACATTTCGAAAGACAAAGGGGGAACATGGCAACCACATTGTGCCCCACTCTGTTGTGCTTTTTTGGATCCATGTCCCTACAAGGGTTGGGAAGCGTTGTTGGATCTACTGGGATGCACATTTGAGCGTGGGTCAAAACTTAGACACCCTTTGCGTACACCCCTTTGGTTTTGTCCATGTCGGTTTGGGGTCGGATTTTTGCCCGCATGGGTGCACCTTTTTTGGAACCCCGAAAGTTGTGGTTGTCCTTTCTTGCGAAGCGCTGCAACTTCCACGAAGTCTGTGCTTGACCTTGCGAAAGTGCTGCGCCTGCCACGAAATCTGTACTTGGCCTCGAGAGTGCTGCACCTGCCTCACAATCTGTACTTGACCTTGCGAAAGTGCTGCGCCTTCCACGAAATCTGCACGTGACCTTGCGAAAGCACAGTGCCTGTCACGAAATCTGTACTTGACCTTGCGAAAGTGCTGCGCCTGCCTTGAAATCTGTACCAGGCCTGCCACGAAATCTATACCTGACCTTTCGAAAGTGCTGCGCCTGCCACGAAATGTGTAGGGTCGCGCTTTTTGCGCATTTCCATTCTCCCACCACACGCGCGCACGCAGTTTTTCTTGCGCGCTTACTCCTTCTCTTGTCATCTGTCTCAGAGAGAGCTAGCTTTCAATTAGTTTCCGTAACACGGAAGTTCCTTTGAAACCTCCTTTAACAAATTACCGGCCGGAAAATGTGAAAAGGGAAGGTTTACCTCTTGCAGCCGGATGTGTTTATTTCAATCCAGGGGACCCAAATCCAAATGGCTGGTTGCGCTATCCAAAACGCCACCAAGCAAATCTCCAGCAAAATCACATGGAACCCAAAACACAAAGGGCCCAAAGGGAGACGTGAATCCGTAGATGTGTATCAACACTGATGCTACAATCAAGCTTGAAACAAATGTTGTAGATAGTAAATGTAGACGTGCAAACATATAGATGGGTGACACCTACTAGCAAATGTGTATATATATAAATAATATTCATTATTGTTGTGGTCCCTTGTTTTCCTTATCGTGGTTAGACCCCCCTTACTATATACACATATATATATATATATACACAACATCTATATGATACCTACTGCGCTTTCGCGACTCGTTGACACGTGCAACGCGACGCGCAACAGGGCGCCTGCTCCAACTCTTGCTGCAGCTGGCGTGCGGCCTCGCTCGATGCCTCGCCAGATCGAGGGCGTTGTGGCGACCAGGCGACCAGGAGGCGTTTGGGGAAGCTGGACGTGTCTCATCAATGTAGTTTTATACTTCATGCAGTGGAACCCAGATACCCCTTTCGATGGTTTCTTGGGGAAGCTTGGCGTGTCTCTAATCTAGTGAACATGGTCTTATATATTCAATTGCAGTGGAACCCAAATACCCCTGTTGAAGGCAACCAGCGATTTTCCTCTTGGTTTTGAAACGGTGGTTTTCTTGGTCGCCTATACGATATGCCGAGTCCCGGGTCGGAACCCCCTGCCACAGGGTTGGGGAACCATTGGGGATCATGTATCCAAGTACATCTATCCAGGTTGACTAAAGCCAAATCTGAAGCATTTTTGGTGCGGTGCACCCGTGCGAAGGAACGGCCTGAGGAACCTCCGGTGGCCGTTCCAGCAGAAAGAGAGGCATCCAAAACAAGCTTAAACAACAGAAACCACTGAAGAAGGTCGGGCACTGGTCGGATGTCAAGTGGCCTGTAGGACTTCAGCCATATTCGACTTCTCAGGCACATCCTCGCAATATTTTGCTGACATGAAAGCCATTGGGCCTCATTAGAACAAACACGGGTTTATACATTGGGCTTTATCAACTCCAAGGATTCACAAACAAGTGGCTCCACCTTACGTGGAATCCCCAGCAACGCCGTACCCTTCTGGAACACTCCCTAACTACTCTGGACCACTCCGGTGCTCGGGCAAAGACCCCATAGCCTTCAGCTGTCACAAGTGGAAGCGCGATCTCACGCCCGCCTTCGCCTCTGGGGCAGCAACCACCACCTGTAAGATGTCTGTCAAACCCTAATGAGCTTGAACCTGAAAGGGGGCCAAGTATTGGGTGGGTAATTACGGGGTACCCTTGCTTTTTCCTGAGAAAACAAAAGGAAAGCACCATGCTTGGTTTGCATATGAGCGGGTGTTTGTGTTTTTTGTTGAGGCTTGGCACCTTTTCCGGTTCGGCTCATCCAATCTGAAATCGGGGGTCTGCGTTGATGCGTGCCTTGCTAAGCAGAACAGTAGATACATGAGACTACATGAGTGTGTCTGTTGGGGGACCCCCAAATGGATTGTTTCGGCTTGCCTTTAAAACCACAATCAACAAACGTTCCGTAAAAATATGCACACCAACAATGAGGTCTGGCGAAGCCATGGCCACTGAAGATTTACTGCAGTCCAGCCGCCACGAAACTTCGTTTCGGGTTGGGACTTGGGCCACAAGAATCAGTTTTTGCGACCAAACCTCTGAGCGACCAAAACCTATCGACTTTGGTTCTACCATGATTGGTAAAGTTTATATAGGGACTACAATCCCTATTCAACCAGGTAGAAGCACCTACCCGACACATTCGCAAGCGAGATCGAAGTCTACTAGAATTGCCGATGGAAAGAATCGGCTTTGGGTGCTGCTGGGGACCCCCAACCCGACGGGCTTCGCCGGAAAAAACTCGAGTTAAAAGTGGCTGGCCACTCACCAAGGAACTCAAAGCCATGGACCACTCCCTGGACCATGCCAAGCACCTTGTTGAAAAGAGCAAATATGGATTTCCCCATGAAACCCCACCATCAAGCCAACTGTTTGTTGGTTCAGCCCAAAAACTTGGGTGTGTATCAACACAAAAAAAACCTCAGGTAGTGTGATTCCTTTTGGTTTCCCTTTACACCCAATCGAAATGGGCAACTACCGAATTACCCACTTTAAACAGAAAAACAGAAGGGAGCTTTCAAACAAATCCAATAAACTCGCCTAGATCACCCCCCCCAAAAAAAAACACAAATAACACACACACCCAAAAAAAAACCAAGAGTACCCCCTCCGCCAGCACCCCTTGCGACCTCCGGAGGTCGCAATCGCTGTGTTCCCCGGCCTCAAAGGAGATGCCGGGCGGGAGGCAGCGAGTAAGATCCTTTGCCACTGGGAGCAACCTGTGCGGCAGCTGCGGGGACCAATTTGAATGGAGTTTATTGGAGGTGCGCACAGGAAGCATTGCGGGGTCTCTGTTCGTGGCAATTCACAAACCAGCCAAAAATGGGATCCCCAACTGTTTGGATTTCCATTCGCAATTCTTGCGTTACTTCTTCTTCAGTTTCTGGAAGCGCCTCTGGGATGTGCGAACCGCAACCCCTAGCTTCAATTTCTGAAAGCCCCTTTACCACCTTTCCGTCAACAAAATCGACGTGGGTTTGTCTTCCACCGGTGGACGCCCAAAAATGGCTAGTTTCCTTTTGCAATTCCCTTGAAGGCAAGCCCAAAAAGGGCGCCCTCGCAACAAAAAGGCTTACCACCAGGAAGCGCCAGAAACCTGAGCCATGAGTTGCACGGACTCACGGCTAAACCATGCAGAGACTTCGTCAGAGACATGGGAACATTGCAACAACACATGTTGTATCATGTTGTGCTTTTGCTATGGTCCTCCTGGGCAGCCGAACCCCTCATGCTCTGTAAACTTTGTGGGCAGCTTAAGCCGAAGCCCTCGTGTCACGAATCTCTAAACTTACCATACACTGACTGGTGACACGACATGTTCGCCAAATTTCCACATCACGGGCCTTGATGCATCTGTCGTCCAGAGCTGCAGCAACCCGCTCTCAGCCTGGGACTTGTCTGAGGGTTCACTAGCCCCATTAGCTTGAGGCGAAAGCCTTGAGCAACTGACCTCCGTATGCATCTGTCTATTCGTAGTCATCATATACATATATATATATATTCATATGTATGTATATATATATATAATACTTCTTGTGTTTCTTCCCGATCCTGACTGATGCCTCGGATCTAAGCTTTAAATGAGCAATCGGACACGCGAACAGGCCTTGGGCCACGAGGCCTGTCTGTTGCCGAATTTGATCTGGGACCCCGGTTGGTTCTGGTCGGGTGCCATCCATGAGAAGCCCAATGCAATCTGCCAGGTTCAGGACTCCGAGCATGAAATATATGCCTGCAGGATGTGTGACAACCCTTCAGGATGCGCGCTCTGTTTTTGGGGAGGGCGCACATTTTGGGAATTGTAAAATAAGCCAAAGGAAAGCATCGATTTTGGAAAACCCGTTTGAGACAAACTAGACACGATCGCATGTGGATTTGGCAAATGCCCTGACACAGATTCTGGACCATAGCTTACAATTGGAGAAGACAACACTTGATGTTGAACCAATTGCATGTTGGCAATGGTGTGACCTAGGAATCCACTGGCACAAAAACAGTTGCTGAATGAAGGGCAACCATGAGAGCCACCAGAAAGGCAAAACTCACATCATAATTGCAAGTGCATTCCATCCGCTAACATGGAACCTGACACGGGGACCCATGCAGTTAGAAACTCTCCCGCCGGTGCTAGTTGAAAGAGAAAAGTACACATCCGGCTCAAACGGATGCCATAAGATAAGCATAAGGCAAACTTTGATTTGCTGCGACCAAGCGGCACGCCATTGACATTGCAAGTGCCGGGTCACAGGATTCTCCGAACAACAGTTGTAGTTTATTGGTGGGCCCATGAAAACTGCCTCTTTTGCCTGTCCGACCCAAAAAGATAGATTGAGGGACCTTGTGAGAACAAGCGTCGCATTCATACAAACTTGTGGATCAACAGTGACAATCAAGTTGTGAAATTGCCCGCAATTCACTTTCAAAGGCTCTATCAAATCCGCTGAATCCGGTAGAGTGAAATAACATACAGCAAGGACTGTGAAACAGGGTTGAGTCATGCTTGTCCGAAAAATGATCATCAAACCCGGTCTCGGAAGGGACCGCAAAACGCAACGGGTCTCAATCGTCTTCCTGGACCATCTATAGGCCGAGCATACTCTGGCAACACAACAAGATGCTGCACGCGCAACAGCATTCATGCAAGATATTGCAAACGCATTGAACCCACGTGAAGGCTTGCAACCTGCGACCTCCAGGCAACAACCAGTCGCTTGCAAGCCTGCCGCAACAGCTTGACTAGCACATCGTGAGAGTCAGCTCTCAATGGAAAGGACGATGTTGGACCCGCAAAACGTATGTAACTCACTTGACAGATCGCTCCGGAACTGGCATCCCCATGTGCTTCCCCCGCCTCCGCGGCCACCGCCGCCGCCGCGGAGCGCAGCGCCGCCAGCGCCGCGTCCTCGCCGATGGCGAAGAGCCGGGCGTCCGCCTGCGAGAGGAATTTGTGCTGAAGATTGGGTTTTGTTGCTTTGGTTCAGTCTTTGTTTGTCGGTTGTTGTCGTTGTTGACTTGGTTGACTTTTGTTTTGCTTGTTGTTTTGCTTTCTGCTCCTTTCTTTTTGGGGGGGGACTGGGGGTGGGGGGGTTTGCCGGCAATTGCTGGCAGGATTGCTGCCGCCATTGCTAGCAGCCAAGGCCTGCTAGCCACTTTGCCAGCCATTCTTGCTTGCGCTACAAGCCATTGCCGACCAAGCCTTGCAACGCTGAACTCAGCGCTTCAGCTTGCCGGCGCGAAGCATACGCTTTGCTGCCAAGAATTGCTGCAAGGGCTGATATGGCCGGCAACACCATATTGGCGGCAATTGACTTAAACACCTTGCTGGACTCAGGTTTGACAACCCTTGTGCAAGCCGCAAGCTATATCTGGCAAAACTTTTAGGGCACCTGCGGCTTCAAGCGCTGAACCGTGCCAAACAACTCGAAGGCTCCAGCTTGGCATGACGCGGCAAGAGCAACCCGCACGTGACCTCATGTTTTTGGTCATGCAGGAACGAGCACGTTCTCCAGCAAGCCCAGCAGTCTGCTTGAAGGTCAGGACATCTTCTGTGAGCAGTTTTCTTGCTGAAGTCGGCATCTCTCTTTTTCTCGTTTCGAGAAATCGGAGGAAACTGATGTAGCGATGCTAGATTGAGGGGCTGCAATGCTTGCTGAGGCGGTTGCTGCAATGATCTGGCTTTTCTTGAATCCCCTACACGTTTGAATGCAATTGAAACGGCAAAGCTGTGCGTTTCAGCGCTTGAAACTCTGCACGCGGCAGAAGGAGCACAGGTGTAGGCAGGGCTTGGATCAAACGCAGGGAATCCGGCCAGTAGGTGCTATTTAAGCTTCGGGTTTCGATGAGGGGTGTGTTTGGGGTGCGCAGGTTAAGCCCTTGTTTTTGCAGGAAGCAAACGGCAAACCCAGCAATTTGTAAGGATCCCTGACTTTGCCACAAGACTGGTTGGCCGAAATCACCGCATGGCGAAATCCCGGACCCTGCCTTCCTCTTCTTACCTCGCCTCAATGCGGCAAGCGCAGGCAACTACCCTCCTGCCATGGACAGTTCCAAGTAGTCGGCTGAAAAAAACAGGGCTGGCGCCTCCTCAAAAATAATGCTGGCTGCGTGTAGGCCGATTTATAAACTAATGTGTATATATATATATATACATGTATACAGAGGAGGTCCAAGCCCGCTACTTTGAACGCCCGTGGTATACTTTCTAATGATTGGCGAAAGAGCTGCTAAAAGCAGCACAAAATGCTGACGACCCTCCAAAGGCCAAAGTACACCACTGGGTGCGTGTAGTTTTTGAATGGTGCTCTTTTGGCTCGTAGGACAACCGCCCACTAATCGCCTTGCCGCACGCGCGTATCTGGGCGCCCGTGCATCGGCAAACCCTGCGGCGCAGTGGCAGCATGCTCTGGCGCTAAGCCTGCATCTTGAAACGAAACGCTAAGAGCGCGGCAGATATGAACACCTATATAGTTGAACTGTACTGCTGCAGCTTGTTCGCTTCCGTGGGCCTTGGGACACCTACACAGACAGGACGCAGTTGATATGCGAATCTTCAAGGTTAAGCCATTCTAGTTCATTGATGGTCATGGGGTTTTGCTAGAGCTGCTACATCCACGTTGGCCCGGGTTCGCCGGGGGGGGGGGGGGTTTGCTGGGTACGCATGACGACGCTGTCTGAACATGTGGTGATTCATGGTATCTCGATGAAATGTGTGGCTCTGCCGACGATGCATCATTCAAGTTTCTGAGTGGCTCAACTGAAATGTGTAAACTTGGTTGAGCAGTAACGGGATTCCTCATGGCAATTTGGAAACTGTGCCCAACCTCCCTTTTTAGGCTCCATATGGATGTGTCTTTTCTTGAGGGTACCATTTTTGGGGTGGTTTCTTGAGGGAAACCAAAAGGACATTTCCCAATTTGGGGGGGTTGCCGCGTTTTGGGGACACATGTGTATTATTTTTGCAGGGGAGCATCGATTCTTGCCTCGGTTGCTTTCTTAACTCTTAGTGGTTTAATGGAAAACCCATTAGCTGGCAAAAAGTTAAAGTCCTAACATCCAAGCACAATGCACCAAAGTTGCTCTCAGGTCCAATCCGTGTCCAGCCATCCTCGTCCCAGCTGACTCGGCCTGCCCAGCCCGTCAAACCCATGGGCTGCAGCACGCAGTCCTGACGCTGGGCCTTACAAGCACCTGACACCTCAGCCCGACTGTGGATGGACGAAATCCTGCACCTGAAAAAAAGCCTGCAATGATGATTCCCCTGTAAATACCAACAAACAATGGTTTCCCGTGGCTCTTGAATGGTGCAGGATTTCGTCCATCCACAGGATGGATTTCCATCAGAACGGCACCCAAGCCAGTGCCCCCACCAACAACTGCTTTTCTCCATGCCCAAAATCCCAAGTATTCTCCAAAAGCAGCGCTTGAGGATTTCTTGTGGAAGGACACCCCTTCCCCAACAAAACGGGGAAGCAAGGGTGCCGCAAGGCTGAAATTCAAAATTCCCCACGCCCCATGGTGGAACTCCTCAAGTCCAAAACCACCCCAAAACAAACGAACAAACACACCAAACATGGACTCCCTAAGGTGAAAGGGCCCCACTCAAAAGGCAAGCAAGCTGGCGGAGCTGCTCATGGCCGTCACATAAAAAGTGAAGGACCTGCAACATAGGGAGCTCACTATGAATCCAAGTTCGTGAGCCGTGAAAGTTGAGGGCAACACAGGTACAGGAAAACATATCCCAGACCTTCGGCGCATTCCGACCAAGTTCTGGGCACATCGGGCCCATTGTGAGCTGAGCAGGTTTCAAGTGCGGCCAGCCAACCCCCCAGAGAGACCCACGTGGAGACCGGGCCAACACCACTTAAATCAAACTTGAGCGCCAGATATGCATGTTCGTATACTAATTTTGAGGCCAATACTATAAATAGGTTTCCGCAAGGCTCAACAATCCCAATTGATATACACTCATACTAAGGTTTCTGCCGAAATGGCGCATCTTCCCTGCCACCCATTCACATGCAACCCTTCAAAAAACCTGGTCTTTCAGGCTAGTCCGAACTTACCTTTGAGGCCAGGGGCCTCGCGATAACCCGCGGCCCTCCTATTAGATCGTCAGCACCCCTCGTGAACTTACAAAACACACATTTTTGGTGGGCTCGCCTGGTAGCTCCCGCAGAAAACACTTAATGCAAAAAGAGAGCCTGGGTAGTCTTCCCAGGTTTCATCCAGAACTCCGGTCCTATCGGCTTCAGCCAAAGCGGCTCTTCGGGCAGTTGGCATGTTGGGATCCAGCCGCCGGGGCGCTAATAGTTTGCAGCAGTTTGGGCAGTTGTTCAAACCCGGGTGTGTCTTGTTTTTTAGTCCCACAAAATGACTGTTCTTTGGTGTTCTTTTGAGTTCCCAAATGGGTTTGTCTAAAAGATAGGGACCCAACAAACTGGTGACTTCCTCTTTGGTTTCCCCTTAAAACCGACCCAAAAAGGGCTCAAAGAAAACCCCCCCCCCCTCAAAGACCCCCCCCCCCCCCGGCCCCTGCCCTCCTGCTCCAGGCCCTCCAAGGCCTTTGCCAGCGCCTCACCGCGCGCCGCCAGAGGCAGCCGCGACACCTCGGCGGGCGTCGATTGCCGCACTTCCAAAGCCAAAAGGGTTTCCGGTACCTACTATAACTTGCTGGTGCTCAAAGAATTAAGGAATAAATCTAAGGATTCCCTTAAAGAAAACCATAGGGATGGGATTCCCTTCAAGGAATGAGGGAAGGAACCGGATTCCCGAATACAGGAAACCACGAGTTGGATGGTTTATACGGGGTCAGCAACCATTTCTCGTTCACTGAGCACCAGCGAGAGAAGGCCTTGCCTGGGATCCACTGAAGGGAGAAGAAACGGGACCCGCCCAGAAGAAACACATTGTTGGTCCTCGAAGGCTCGGTTGACAAAGCGGGTAAGACGAAGAGTTTGGTAAATCTGAGCCAGCGTGATAGTAAGCATGTGTCAGCTTCAGATGTTCATGACATTGAAGTATGTTCCACTCTATGCCCTCTAGTACTGCGCTACAGATTGACAAGGACACACCCAAACACATCTTGAAAACAAAGCAAACTCCTTTTGGGGATTGGACCTCTTTTTTGCGCTTCATGACAATTCGCGGAATTTGCTTCCAAGATACGTAATGCCCATCATGGATAGAGATGATGGACCTTGGCCGTCGCATCTTCAAGCCCGGTCGTAACATTCGGCAAAGGAATTCGATTCCCAACTTGAAATCGTTGGGTCTTTGTCCAAGGTGGTTTGTGGCACGCGGGTTTACATGGCTCCATGGGAAGACCTGGGTAAACAAGCTGAAGCAAAACCGATTTGTGGCCCAGCCACGTAGCCGCACTGTCCTTTCTCTTCCAAAAGGGGGCCAGTGCACTTTGATAGGATGCATAACTACATGGGTGTGTGTGTGTGTGTGCGTGCGTGTGTGTGTGTGTGTCAAAATAGGGCGGGACTCTGCACTCTGCGGTAAGCCTCGAACCCACCTCAGCCACCAATGCCCAGTGACTTTGCGCATCAGCATGGCTAAGAGAAGCCTTATCTTTTACCCCCAATGAACCAGGGTGTAGAACCACCAAAATGGCCCCCTTGGGAACTGTTTTTGGGCGCTCACCAGAACTCCAAAGATGCACTGGTCCTCACTTGGCAGATCCGGGTGGCCCCGACATGTTCAGCTCTGCGTGGGCCAAAGCCTGCAGGGCCTGCAACCAGCACCGCACCATCTTCTGCTCGGCGCCTAAGTCAAACGTCGACACCGGATCTTCTTGTTGGTGCTCAGCAGGGAATGTGGGAATCAAGTCAATCAATCTAAGAGTTCTCCTCGTTCTCAAACGCCGGGATCTTTGAACCGGGTACGGCTAGAAATCTGGCGGAATACCGAGAGGTGTTTCCTTCAATGAGGGATGTGCTCTTGAATGGGGCATTGCTATTTCGCAACCAAGGGAAGTAAAGCCCCCCACCGCGGTTTACCCTCAACAATGGAAGTGGACAGGAGGGTTCACCATCCGCATTGAGATACATGTAGCTTCATTGATTGACTTAGGCCTTTCCAGTGCCTCCCTTTCGTGAAAACCAGCGATGCATAGTTCCTGCTTGGCAATCTGGATACCTTGACTACAACATGCTCAGTAGGGAATGAGAAATGGAATGAACCCAGGCATTCGTCCCCTCAAAGGAAACCACCAGTTGGATGTTTTATCTTGGTGTCATTCTAGAACTCTCCTTCCCTGCAAGAGATGCACCAAACTTCCCGCCTCCTGCAGTGCGGGCATCCAGCAAAACGCATCGCGGGCCTGGCGCAGCTCTGTGCTTCTGGCCACCCGGCGATCAAGTTTTGGCTGTGGCTCAAAAAAATCGAATCCCCAAAATGGCCCCTTGGTAAATGGAAACAGAGACCGAAACCTGCGTAACCCTGACTCTTGAATTTTGAGTCACACCCATAATGTGACCTTTGGGCGACTTGGCTCCGGGCATTTGACCTTTGGGGGCGCCCACTTGGCCTCTTGTTACCGAACAACCCGGGTAATTACAAGAAGTCTCCCAGGAACTCAGACTCGTCCTGTTTCGAGTTGGTACCCGGTTTGGGATATTTTCAAAGCCCAAAGGAAAGCACAAACCGCCCAATTCTGGGGCTTCCCGTGGGCCAACCCACGCCGCACGGTGTCAACAGGCCTTCCGGAACAGCCGCCATAGCTCGAATCTATGCACTCAAATGGCGGCGTGCTCGAAACATCTCGAAGATGCAATCCATTTAGCTCCGATGTTTGTTCCTAAGAAACCATCAGGAAATTGTCCAAGATTCTCCTGGAGCCTTTTGCTGCTTTCCGCTTCAGAGGTCATACGAGGGGTATACATACATGGGTGTTTTTTGAAGGTACCATTTGTAGAGGGAACCCAAGGAACCCAGTCAAGAGTTCCCATAGTTGGGACAAACACATATCTAGTTGTTCTGTGTACGGTCCCCATTCAAAACAAACATACGTGTAAGTAATGTGTATCTCCATATATCCTTGACAACACACAAAGTGTCCCCAAAAGCTTTGCTCATGTTACATGTTCAAGCTACCTCGTTAATGCATAGCGTCCAAGGGTCCACATATCATTACACATACTGTGTGTGTGTGTGTTGTACTCTGAATTCAGTATGCCCATGCCCATTCGTGCTGCGGTAGTGTAGCTAACTTGACACGATCTTTCTGGACTCGGAAATCTCCTCTGCCGGTCCCTTTTTGCTCATGCCAATCCCAATCTCGGTCCTTGCATCATGTCGATGTTGAAGTGATGGGTTTCGTTGCCTTCCAATGAGCTTGCCGCATCGGACTAATGCAGCTTCTCCGGATGAAGGCACCGGGACGCTTGTTCGGGTGCCGAACGCATCACCTGCCGTCCCGTTCGCTTCGTTCGTCCTGGAGCCGTCCTCTCATGGACGATCTTGATGCCGCAAGTTCTTCCCAGGAGCCATGCCACTTCTGCTAGGTTTCTCTCCGGGCAAAGCCCAACTCACTTCCTGAGCGTTGGCCAATCCAAGCTTCCAACGGCCTTCCCGAAAAGCATCCAGCCATGAATGGGACTACGTGAGCATGTCCCTTCAGCCAAACTTGAGACTTCGGGAGTACATGTAGTTTGCAGGTCTAACAATTTGACTGTTGATGTGATATGTCATAAACCCAACTTCAAACCCTAGTGTAAAAGTCCAAGGGTCCCTATGGCTGGGAACGAGCCTCCAAGATATGTGCGGCCAAAACAAGGATTGGAACAAATGGTGTCTTGCCTTTCAATCCGTAACCAATCCAACCTGAACAGACTTGGACCCCGTCAAGTGGTACCATGTCCTTACAGAACCTAGCTTTGCACATTTTTGCATCGCCCCCTCGCCTTTCTGCCAGCTTGAAGGACTCCCAAGCCAAGAGTCCTCCAGCAAGTCCAGCTTCAAAGCGACTTCGCGGCAAAAGTTGGTCTCAGGGTCTCAAGGTCGGTTGAAACAGCGGCCTCCGGGCCCAGCGGTCAGCCAGTGACACCATGCCATGGCTTCTGGGCGCTGGGTCCAGGAAGTCCATGCGAACCTGGCATAAACCACCCCCGGTTTCCCTTGGACTTGTTCTGTTTCCCTTAGTTCTGCCTGGTTGTGCTATGGCTTCACAATGTTTCCCCAAAGTTTCCCTTAGTTCCCCCTTTTAGTCTTCAATAGTTTCACAATGTGCCCCTTTGCTTCTCATCTGTTGCTCTGTATGGTGTGCTTTAGGTGTTCTTTGTCTCTATTAGTTTCCGTTGTGTTTTTCAGTGTTACCCTTAGCCTCCATTAGTTTCACAGTGTTTCTCTTCGGTTTCCTTTTGCTTCTCCTCGTTTTCTACAGCGCGCTTAGTTGTTCTATGTTTCCCTTAGTCTTAGCTCCTTTTTCTTCTCAGTGTTTCCCTTAGCTTCAACAGTTTCGCAATGTTTCCCTTTGTGTCTCTTCTGCTTGTCTCCTATGGGGCAGTTAGTTGTTCTATGTTTCCTGTAGTTTGCCTTGTTCTTTTCAACGATTGGTTCACTGCGTTCCCTGCATTTCCCTTCTGAATCTTAATTTCTTGCCGCGCTTAGTTGTTCTATATCCCCCTTCGTTCCCCTTATGACTTTCCATGTTTCCCCTTAGCTTCCCTTCTCTTAGCATATGGCTAATAACTCACCTGCGCGGCTGCCCGGGTCTCGCTTGCGAGCGCAGCCATTTTCAACTCACTTGCGGGCGCAGGGGTATCTTTGTGAGAGGGGTCGCAAGCGAGCGGGCAACATATGTAGACTCATTTCACAGAATATCGATCAACAAAAATCCTGTGAAAAGGGTCACAAACTTGTCTACTCACTTGACGAGTGCAAGGTTTTTGGGTGTTGCGGAACGTCATATAACTGCGACTGTTGAAGCTGCATGTGGCTGTCAAACGACTTTTTTACGCGGGGGTCACCAATTTGTCCCACCTGCGAGTGCGGGATTGTTGGGCATTGACAGGTTATCTCACGACATCTGTCAACCAAGAGGTTCGTAAATAAGGGGAGCGGTGGTAGGCACACTTTCTCTGAGCGGGCGCGCTTACCAGTCAAGGCAAGAAGGGGCGGCTGACGCAATGGAGGTTGGCTCTGCAATAGCCTGTGTGAGTGACGATCGTTGCAGTCCTCAACAAACATGGAAAGAGTCAGCTCTCATCTCGCTCTGCGCTCTGATTGCTGGGCCAGCAGTAAACAGCAACAGATGACACGTTGGTCTTGCAAACGGAATGAACAAACTTGCACGGTAAGAATCCGGTTCCACCTGTCCTCAACTGTCTTGCAGCTGGGCAGACAGCTTGGCTCGCATAGCGGCTGCTTGAGTGACAGTTGTTGAGCAAGGTTGGCTGCGGATTTACGATTAAGAGCCACTCAAACTATGCAGGTTGCATAGGCAGATCATTCCAAGAAAGACTCAGCTCTCACCTTGCCCTGCGCTCGAATTGCTGCGCCAGCAGTAAACAGCAGCAGTTGACACATTGGTCTACTGTCGACGTTTTGGGTTGGTTTAGGGTTGGCTCAAGGTGCTGGTTTAGGGCTGGTTTTGGGCTGGTTTGGGGCAGTGGGTTTCGAGTGAGTTTAGGGCTGGTTTGGGGCTGGCTTAGGGTTGGCTTTGGGTTTGGCTTAGGGTTGGTTTAGAGTTTGTTTAGGGTTGGTTAGAGGAGCACTAGAGGAGCAGCGCAGGAGCGCTGGAACAGCAGTAAAGGATCACTAGACGAGCACTAGCGGAGCACCAGAGGGCGACTGGGCGAGCACCCAAGGAGCACGAGGCTGGTTTAGGGTTGGCTTACGGCTGGTTTCTGGTTGGTTTAGGGCTGGTTCAGGGTGGTTTAGGGTTGCTTTAGGGCTGGTTTGGGTTTGGTTAGGGGGTTGGTTTAGGGTTTATGGCTGGTTTAGGGCTGTTTAGGGTTGGCTTAAGGCAGTTTAGGGCTGGAGCAGCATCCCTAGAAGAGCTGGGAACGAGCTGCGCTGTTCGGGCAGTTTAGTGGAAACTTCATGGATCTGGACATGTTTGGCGCATCTTTTGGGGGCAGTTTGCAACCCGCAACCTCCCAGCTTCTCCGGATCGCCTCTCACTGGCCGCTGCGCGCCTGCCGGCGACAAGCAATCCGACAGCTCAGTTGCTCCGTGCGCGTCTGTGTGTGTGTGTGTGGTTGGTTGGTTGGTGGGTGTGGGTGTGGGTGTGGGTGTGGGTGTGGGTGTGGGTGTGGGTGTGGGTGTGGGTGTGGGTGGGCGGGTGGGCGGGTGGGCGGGTGGTGTGGGTGGGTGGGTGGGTGGGTGGGTGGGTGGGTGGGTGGGTGGGTGGGTGGGTGGGTGGGTGGGTTGGTGCGTGCGTGCGTGGGTGGGTGGGTGGGTGGGTGGGTGCAGGTGGGTGGTTGGGTGGGTGGGTGGGTGGGTGGGTGTAGGTGTGCGCGCGCGCGCGCGTGCGTGCGTGCGTGCGCAATCGCAAAAAACAACCTGCACGGTAAGAATCCGGTTCCACTTGTCTTTCAACTGTCTTGCAGCGGAGCAGCCAGCTTGGCTCCCATAGCGGCTGCTGGAGTGACAGCTCTTGAGCAACAATGGCTGCAGGCTTACGATAAAAAGCCACTCAAATCATGCAGCATGCATGGGCCAAATCATTCCAAAGTAGACGAACTGCTGCTACAAGTTGTGCAAAAGTCATGATAAGACATGGCGGTGACTCAAAAACTGCCTGGGCCTGACTTACGGAACATAGCTTCAGGCTGCAACGCTAAGCGCGGCCATTCTCAAAAACACAAGCAGCCCTCCAATATGCTGACTTTCCTACAGTGTAACAGAGACCAACTGGACCCAAGCAGAATTGGTTAATTCCCAATCTATGTATGCATACAATCACTATCACAGGAAGTTTACAAGGAACTTCCGTGCACCGGATTTGAGTGAGCTAGCTCTCTTTAAGAATGCGTGATGCACTGCTACGCAAAAGCTGGAAAACGTGGCCTCTGTGCTGCGTGAGTTCGGCAATCCACCTCAGTCGCGGCGCACGCGTGTTTCAGGTCTCAGCACTTCTCGTGGGAAAGCGCATCCCTCCGGCAGCTCGTCCTCGCCAAATGCGCGGCGCTGTTCATCTCGGCTTGCCCGCCCAACCGTTATGAAGCAGTTGGTCCTGCCGTGCCGCCCGATTCTCCTGGACCATCTGCCAAGATCTGTGGCCTTTCTTGGGTGATTCCGTTGTGGTAGACCGCACGCCCCATTTCGGGCGAGCAGCCCTGAGAGCTTGCCTTCAATCTCGACTCTGAGAGACTAGCCCGGCGGAAGGGTGCATTGACACCCTCGTGCGCAGGCCAAAAGAGGTGCTTGCCTCGAACGCAAAAGACTTCACAATCAAAGGGTACAAAACATCATGCATGTGTGAGCAAAAAAGAAAGCTTCTGAAGCGGCATGATGTGCACATATGCTATGGCTGCTATGTAAGCCTGGACCTAGTGGCGGCAGTCGCTATGCATTCTTAGTTGTTCTGTTTCCCTCAGTTTGCCTTACTCTTTTCAATGTTTCCCTTTCTCCATCAGTTTTACTGCGTCCCCGAGTGTCTTTGCAGATTTCCTTAGTTTCCTTATGGTGTCCTTAGCTGTTCTATGTTTCCCTTAGTTTCCCCTGCTATTTTCAATAGTTGTCATTGGCTTCACAGTGTGACCCTTCGTTTCGCTTGCTTATTTTAGTTTCCTATGGTGTGCTTAGTTGTTCTATGTTTCCCTTAGTTGATATGAATTTCAATGTTTCCCTTAGTTTCCACTAGTTTCACTATGTTTCCCTTAGCTCCCCTAGTTTCCCTTGGTGTGCTTCGTTGTTGTGCACTTTGCTTAGTATCCGTTATTATTTTCAATGTTTCGCTTAGTGTCCATTAGTTGCACTATGTTTACCTTATGTTTCCCTTCTGTTTCCCTTAGCTTCTCCCAGTTTCGCTCTCTTGCCTTTTGTTTGCTATGTGTCCCTTGGTTTCCCAATGTTCTTGCTTAGTTTCATAACACTGCTCCCTTGTGACCCTTAGTTCCTCGATGCGAGACTTGCCAAAGTTCGACTAATAACTTGATCGGATGGAATCGAAGCAACACAGCTGAAAGCATCCAAGGAACTGTTCCTATCCCCCCCCCCCAGCAAACACAGCTCCAGTTTATCTCAGTCTTCCCAAACCGGGATTAGTCGGTGCTGTTTAGGTCCGGGATGGATTGATTCTCCAGGGTTTTCTGTGGATCGGTGAGGGTATGTGTCACACTAGTGGAATCCATCCCAAAAGCTGTGGCTTTTTGTGTGGCTTCCCAATAAAAACCAAGGCGAACAGAGCGCTCTCAAAAACACACAAACACAAAACAATACACATACACAAACCCGAAAAACCAAACACAAACACAATATCGGGCAATAACACACAATAACACACACTAATACCTACTAATACACACACACACACACACGCACGCACGCACGCACGCACGCACGCACGCACGCACGCACGCACGCACGCACGCACGCACGCACGCACGCACGCACGCACGCACGCGCACGCACGCACGCACGCACGCACGCACGCACGCACGCACGCACGCACGCACGCACGCACGCACGCACGCACGCACGCACGCACGCACGCACAACAACAAAAAACAAACACAGACAACCACACCCACACACACACACACACACACACACACACACACACACATATGAAACCCTTGAAACGCAAGAACGCCAGGCACTATCACGGACGATGGGCTTCCTGGGCTTCCGAAAGAGCTCTCGGCATGTGCTGAAACAGTTGAATCGCAGCCTTTCGCGTGGCTTGGTTTCCTTGTGCCCGTGTTTGCCTTCTTCCCGATTTTGTTTGCTTTCCAAAGAGATCCTTAAAAGTCGGTTTCCGCTTGCTTTGCCTTTAAAACCAAGCCAAGGGCGTCCCCCCGGAAAGACATCCATTTAGGGAAGGTTTTGAAAAGGGAAACCCATTTTGCGCCTTCCCCATCAAACAAATCCACCCCCCTACTCAAGATACCCTCGTTCCTCATGGTATGTCAACCCCTGACCAATACAGGTGATCATATTCTTGTTTACCCTAACAAACCAAGTTTCTCAAACACACACCCCTGAGCAAATGTTGTTCAAGCATTTCTCTCACCTCTTGGTTGCTGTTGACCCCCCTGCAAAAAGTTTATGTTTTTGGAGGTTTAGTGGAAAACACCTGTATTCCCAAAAAGTTAAAGTCTAAAGATCCAACCCAATAGCAGTCAAGCACCCGGGCATCTTTCGATTCCCCGCCTCGAGCCGAGCCGACGTCGCATTCCGCGCCAGGGACGGCAGGAGCTCGTCGCCTCTGCTGTGGAGCCACGGGGCTTTGGTGAAGTCACGGCCGTTCAGCGCCAGCAGCTGGAAACCCGCCAAGACCCCTGCTGGCAGTTGCACAATGATTTGGTACAGCATGGATCTCAAACACCGAATAAGCGTGGGCAGTAGATTATCTTTACAGTTGGTTTTTGCCTGTGGAGGTGAGGTCAAGTGTTTGCACAGTACATCATGGGTTTCGGAGGTATGGAGGGTGCTTCTGCACCGCTTATGTAATCGGCACCCTTTACATAAGCGATATATCGAAACTACGCCTTCCAGGTTCCCTACTTGGAGAGCGGGGACCATTTCAAACTTCCAACCCCGCAACTGTTCGTTGTCTATGACCGGCTCCTTACGTCTGGCTTCGGCCCGAAAAGCAGATGGAACACTGGCAGTATGCTGGCCACAGCTACTTCGGTTGGGCAACTTGGCATCGGATCGGTCCGGTGTGCTTCTGTATCCAAGTGTCCAACAGGCATAAGCATTCATTGTGCATCAGAAGCAAGACCCGGGGTTGGTGTCCTGTAGTAGCACCATCCCTTTCCATGCATTTGTGCCACAGTACCCAGAAAACCTCGTCGAGGTCCTGCTGAACAAGTGGAATCCTATATTCCATGCCTTTGCTCAATCTTTGCAGAGACCCTTCTTTCAAGATTGCTCCAAACGGACCAACTAGTGATTTCCCAACTTAGAACGAGGGCTGAAAAGAATGGGCTTTTCCAAAAGTTCTGGCTTCCGTCACCATGTGGGCAACTCACGATGGGACATGGAAAGCCCAAAGCCATGTTTTGCAAATGTGACAAAGGGTTCTACTGGTAAAGGGTTCTATTGCTACTCCTTGTGGGACTAACTACGCATTCATGTTTTCCATCTCGAGTGCCGGAACCGAGCAGTTTGACCATGGCTCACATGGCTTTCCCATCGACTTTATGTACTACAATTTGATTCGATGAAAAGTCACCATCCCACGCAACTAATTGCTCCCAACTGACTGGAATACCCTCCAAATGCTTTGGGATTACAAAGAGCTTTGGCGTTGCTGGTTGAAAGGGACAAGGAAGAAACAATGAGGGAACTCCATTAAACTAAAAAAACAAGTGAAGGGCAAAAAGTCAAAACAGTAGCCAAGTTTGGCCATGTCTCAAGGAGGCAAAGAGCCACCCATCTCCAGCCTGCATTTCGAGCAGGGCCCTGAGTGGCTACAGCCACCACCACAATCGGAGCGCCTACATGGCAAAGGGCCTCCTAGGCCCCACGAATCCAAGTAGCTTTGAGTGTTGCCCATTAATCATGCAATGGTGTTCTTTCTTTAAAACGAACACGGCCTGATTGTTGGTTTCCATACATAGGTGTCCTTTGTAGGTGAGTTTGGCTGAAGATAGAGGTACTTCCCCGAGTTTGGTTGGATATAGTGAAGGTCAGTTTGAGGTCAGATAAATCCAGATTGGGTCGATTTGGTTGAACAATTGATCTCAAAACCTTTCAGCTCATGCCATCGAACTGTCCAGAAGGACACCACCTGTGGCCAGACCACCTTTAAGTGGCTTCATTCGGGTGTTTCTCAAAAATAAAGGGACCCCTACACTTGGTTAAGCGTCTCAACCCCCCTCCCCAACAATGGCCATGACACAATTCGGGCCACCCAAGATTCGACTGGCCAGTGTCCCTCCCAAACAAACCGTAGACAAAAATTGCTATTTCAGAATGGCGGACCCCCTTTAGATGGAATCTGTTTGAACGCCAGAAGGAAACCAACCATGTCCCTGTTTTGCGAACCACTCATGTGCTACTCCTTCCCTTACTCCAAGTACCAACTTCTTTTCGTTGGTATACTTGGAAAGACATGGTTTCTCATGGAAAATGCATCCGCTACAATTAACTCTGGACCCAATAAATTGGTGGTTTCCTTTTGGCTTCCATTTAAAACCCCGAAAAAAACGGGTTTGCCTCAAAACAGGGATCCCTGGTATCACGGTTTTGTTCTTCAGTTTTCGCTTGACGCAACCTCAAACCGGGGGGGTACCCTCCAAAAATGGCGCCCCCATGCACGCCCAACTGGATCGGCGGTTTTGGGGATGTGCACTTTTTCCTGCAGAGGGCAACTGGGGGGAAACTCCACCCCCGGAACACTTCCAAGCCGGGCTCCAACCCTGCGGAAGCTGACGCGGCCTGCCCCGCCGGCCAGGCGAAGATCTTGAGCTGCCGCCGCCGCGCTGGAGTAGCCTCGGTCCGGACCCTGCGGGGGTCTGTTTGAATGATAAACAAAAACTGTTTAATGAGATAGAAGCCGAAGGGCACCAAGGAAAATGAAAAGAAACTGGAAGGAACATGAAATATATATAGTTCAACCAGCCATTTCAAGGGACCCCTCCCACCTTGACTTTCGTTGAATGGGTTTGTATTTTGTCCGTAAGCTAGACAGCCACACAGGCACCAAAACGTCAATCCGACTGCGGGTCCTCAAGCATGCTGCCGACTGCGACAGCGAAGAAACTCAGCTCAGATTAATTGAAATGAGCTGTCCTGGCGGCGGGAGCTCCGGCTTCGGACTGTCACTGCCGTTGTCTATTGCAATTAGACATGAAGGTCTTGCCAAGTTGTCACAGCTGTCGAATAGGCTCTGTCACAGCCTTTTCGCGGCACCGGGTGGATGGATCGGATGTCACTTGCAATCTAACCCCAAACCTGTTGGGTGGGCAGCCAAGCATGATGTGGGTCCAAATCCCCACCCAACCTTGACGAGCCACAATCACTGCCCCAGAGGGCTCCGACCACCTTCCCACCAGGACGCGGAAGTGTCGCCTCTTTGAGTTTGGAGGGCGTTTGCGGTAGCTTGTTGTAACATGAGGAACAAAGTGTCATTTTGTCATTTTGAACCCCAAAGAGATCCACTACAAAGACTCACCCAGATTGAACGTCAAACCTGAAACATCATGCCTGAGCGCCCACAGAACAACCAACATGCTGTTGCCATCCTCAGAAACTGCTGTGCACAGGGTAAAAGTAAATACACAATTCCCGATAGATATGGGTAAACAAAGGGGATGACTAAACCAAACTGGATTACAAGTGTGCCATCAGGGTCTCAAAAATGGGTGGTTCCTTTTGATGGCCTCTAAAACAACCCCCTTCAAACATACCACCTCTTTTTTCACCTAAACACCTGGCTCTCCTTTTTGACGAGTCACTCAAGTGGCTACATCCAGGAATGGCAGGTGGGGGCTCCGAAGGGTTCGTCATGAGCTCACTGATCTTCCGATGCTGCCAGTCAGCAAAAGCCTCCTTAGTTCTGGGTGCCGGAAATAACTGAAATAACCCGTTCTGCGATACCAAAGTTGTTGATTCCCATGAACACCTCGTCAGTTAGAAGAGGATTCCCATGGTATCATGTCCGTGCAAAGGACATGTCAACATTTGGTCAACGTCTCTCCTATTCTCCATTGCCTGTTGCAACTCCAGTCTGGGGCTAACTGGAGCTTCCCTGGCGAATGGGGCAACGTCATGCAGAACCAGAGCCGAGCTTTTCAGTGGGCTTGTCTTGAAATAGGGCACCCCCCCCCCCAAAAAAAAAAAACATAGGTGGCTTCACATCTGGCTTTCATTTTTCAGCACCCAAGAGATACAGAGTTCTCCGTCCAAAACAATGGAGCCACGCCCAAGTCTCCCTGGGTTCCTGCTGTTCCTCCATCGGAGCGCGCGAGCTCCGGGAGCCTGGCCTGTGCATTTGCAGCACAGGCACGCCCATCTGCACACCGTCCTTCAGGGTACCCTCCTTCCTCATGACAAATCATACGGGCGTCTTGTTTTGATGCTACAAACCAAGGGAAGCCAAAAGACAAACATAAATCCATGTTGGGGGTACCCTAAAGCAAGACACACCCATTTGGTTTTCTTAGGGCACTGAACCACGGAACCTGATGAAAGGGGAGGGCGGGTGCTGGCTGTGGACGGCAGAGAATATGTCGGGTCTCCATTTCTGGAGGTTACTTTGAAACAACTGGCATCCAATTGGATGTCCAACCTTGGAAGACTCACCAATCACGAGGAAGCTGACACGGCAAACCTTGGCCAAACTAATCCACATCCCACAAGCTATGTTTTTCCACCGCCCCTTCGAGCAGGAAAACAAATCTCATTGGAGCGTCCTTGTACCACACCACCTGCCGAAGTTCTGGCTCCGGCATCACACGCACAGCCTGGCTCCGCCACCAGCCCCAGCGGGGCGGCTCCGGCTCCGGCGCCTCCGGCGCTGTTGCCTCCGGCGGTTTCGGCGCCTCGGGCGGCGCCTCTGGCGCTGGCGCTGTCGCCTCTGGCGCCTGTGGCGCCCCTGGCGCCTCCGGCGCATCCGACGTCGCCACTTCCGGCACCGGAAGCGGCAACTCCAGCGGCGGCGGCAGCGGCGGCGGCGGCGCCGGTGGTAGGCGCCCTTCGGGGATCTCGTCTGCCGCGGTGCGGGCAACCAGCTCCTTGGGCTTTCGGGCACGTCCCAAAACTCCCAAAACGAAGTCTGACCCTTGGTTCGGTCTTTCAGAACTGTCGAGCGAGGCGAGCCTGATTTTGTCGACCCCCTAACCAGGACATGGAGAGACCATAGTTTGGGGTGGGAAGAACCAACGGGTTAGAGGTGCCCTTCGAGAAGTCTTGGCTACGGCCGAGCCAAACCACGCCTCGTGCTGCTTCTTGAGCTCTGCATGTTCCTCCTGCAATGTCCGATGCAGCGCCTGCAGCTGTTGAAT